GTAATTCCTGCAGTCACGAAAGCTTCAAATCACGTCTTAGTTCTAAAGAAATTAAATTTAAATCGAGGTGATTTAAAAATGCACAGCCCCAGCGACTTCATACTATTGGAAGGAAGAGCGTTCCAACCGGCCGCAGAAGATTGCCGATTTGTCAGCTTATTTATTTAATCACCTTCGTTAAGTCTGCGATGTCTCTATTCGGCACGCGTTCTCCAATCCACGTTTTCCTCCCTCGTGTCTCCCAGTGAAATTACTGGTGGGGCGAGCGGACTACTCCACTCAGCTACCCCGATACAGCCACGCGTGCTCTGGTGGAGCGAGCGGACTACTCCACTCAGCTACCCCGATACAACCACGCGTACCCTGGTGGAGCGAGCGGACTGCTCCACTCAGCTACCCCGATACAGCCACGCGTGCTCTGGTGGAGCGAGCGGACTCCTCCACTCAGCTACCCCGATACAACCACGCGTGCTCTGGTGGAGCGAGCGGACTCCTCCACTCAGCTACCCCGATACAGCCACGCGTACCCTGGTGGAGCGAGCGGACTCCTCCACTCAGCTACCCCGATACAACCACGCGTGCTCTGGTGGAGCGAGCGGACTCCTCCACTCAGCTACCCCGATACAACCACGCGTACTCTGGTGGAGCGAGCGGACTCCTCCACTCAGCTACCCCGATACAACCACGCGTACCCTGGTGGAGCGAGCGGGCTAGTCCACCCAGCTACTCAAATATAGCCACACGTACCCTGGTGGAGCTAGCGGACTAGTCCACCCAGCTACCACCCCAGATGCTACAACCATGGCATGGCTTACGAAATGTTTTCTCAAAACGACCACGCTTCTGTCTTTCCGTGTTCCCATGGGGAGCTCTGCAACTGCGCTAGGAACCCGGCGCCCCGAGTTGAATTCCCGCTTGACGGTCAATAATAGTGGCGAATATTTCAACCGATCCTGGGAATCTCCCGTCGATAAGTTAAAGAACGATTCATGGAGTGAATGCTCGTGATTGGATGCGCGAATGAACGATAACATCAGAGTGTTAATGAAGGGATGAATGAAAAATACGACAGCATAATTGAATAAATTAATGTAAGCACGAATGACAGTCGGGGGGGGGGAGGGGTGGCATAATATGATTACACGAGTGAATGAACATATATGAATGAATGATGAAGTGAATGACTGTGAGACTTCTGCAGTCGGAAGACATCGGTTGGAACTCCAGCCGCGCGCTCTGAGCGGCCCCTAGTGGCAAGGGCTAGGCACCGAGCGGAAAATATATCAATAGGCAACGTTTCAGGCAATGGACCTTCACAGGACATGGAGAGAGATGCCAGAGGTAGGGTAAATATAATTACAGTTTCTAGTTCATTTAAACGTTACTGCTATAATGATTGCTCCTTACGTCCCCGGGAGAGCATTTAAGGTAAATATTTTCCACGAAGCGGACCTAGACGTCAATGTTCGGGCAAAAAAAAAGTTTTTGTTCTCTCTCCCTCCCTCCCCCTCCTTCCCTCCCTCCCCTCCCTCTCACTCTGTCGACCCCTCTCCCTCCTTCGCTCTCGTTCGGATTGTTAAATCTGCAGCAACCTCTGCATTCATCAGGCGCCATCGCTCCCCACCCGTCCTGACCCCCCTCCAAACAATTTCGCGACCATTATTTGCGACTCGAATTTCAACAGCGGTGAACACAACTCTGCGCCTGTGTGTGTGTGTGTGTGACGGGATGTTAACTGCCTCGCCTGGTGTACGGGACGTCGCGGGTTCGATTCCCGACCCTGACGCCTGCTGCTGTATATTTGGAGCTTGTTTCGATCTCGCTCCCCGTGGTCGCGTGGATTTTTCTCCGGGGGTCCTCCGGAATTTTTTCCCCTACCCACCACCACCACCACATCTAGAAACGTGCGTGGAGAATATTTGGCTGCTATACTTGTATCGCACTACGATAAGGCCACTTCGTTGGGCTATCATTTGTGGCCAGGCAGCTTCGGAAAAAGAGCCACGTAGCTCAGTGGGCATTGACTGGTACAAATAATGTAAAAAATAGTTTTGGATTAATTAAATGAATCGCGCGCATTATTTGCTAGCGCGCACGCGTCTTTGAAGGTGTACACAAAGCCAGCGGTTAGCGCGCTACGCTGCCCTATGGACCCGGCGAGCCGAGTTCGACTCCCGCTCACGGCCAACACCGGTGACGATTATCTGAACCGGTCCTGGGCATCTCCTAGGTCGACTCTGCCTCAAACGAGAACCTGGTGCGGTGCGTAAAACATCGCCACTGGGGAGACAAAGGCGGTCGGGCGTGGTGCTGGCTACCCACCCCCTCGTGTGCCGTGCCGGCCTTCATAGGTGCTCGCTCACAGCACTTGCCCCAACAGTCTGTTAAGGCTATACGGGGGATCTTTGTCTTTTGTAGGTCTGGAGCGGTGGCGCAGTGGTTAGCGCACTGCGCTACGAACCCGGCCAGGCGAGCCGAATTCGATTCCCGCCAAACATCGGCGACGAAAATCTGAACCGGTCGTGAACCATCCCTAGGTAGACTCGGCCGTAAATGAGTATCTGGTGCCGTGGCCGTGAGCGGGAATCGAACTCGTGTTCGTATAGCGCACTGCGCTAACCACTGCGCCACCGCTCCTCACACACACGCATACACACAAGGTAATACACACCAAAACTATCGAGGCGCACACACACTCACCATGCCATGCAATACACAACACGTACACTCAATGCACACACGATCGAACACACTGATGAATACACACGCGTACACAATATCGCTCGCGTGATACAAACACCGTCTAAATTATACGAAAATACACTCACGAAACCCCGATACAGCTACGTACAACAACAACAACAACTCTCACACTCGTTCATACACACATTGTCACGTACCGTACATGAAAACAAAGGCAGAGACCCAGTGTACAGACTGTTGGGGCAAGTTCTGTTAGCGGTCACCTGTACAGGCTGGCACGGCACACACACGCACGTGAATACACCAACCACACACACACAACACAAAGACCCCCCGAATAGCCTCAACAGACTTTTGGGGACAAGTGCTGTTAGCCAGCACCTACACCCAACAACATAACCAACACGCGCGCACACATATATACACAAGATAAAGATCCCGCGTGTAGCCTTAACAGACTGTTGGGGCAAGTGCCGTGAGCGAGCGCCTATTGAAGGCCGGCGCGGCACACGAGGGGGTTGGGGTTGCCAGCACCACGCCCGGCCATCAGGTTCTCGTTTGAGGCTGAGTCGACCTAGGGGAGGCTCGGCACCGGTTCAAATAATCGTCACCGGTGGTGGCCGTGAGCGGGAATCAAACTCTGGTCTCCGGGTTCGTATCGCAGCGCGCTCACCGCTACACACACTCACACCACAACGCACATGCAACAAACACCCAACAGACTCAACGCACACGCACACACACACGTGTATGTGACACAAACCGCATGAAATGTATACTCGGCCCTGCCACGCAGTATTACCAATTCAACTCAAAGGGGGTGCCCTGCGTACACAAACTGCACCCCTTCTCTCTTCTACCTCCCCTCTTCTCTCCCCAGCTCCCCCCCTCTCTCTTGCTCTCTCGCTCTCCTTTCCTCCCCCTCTCTGGGGCTTTAATCCAAACTGTGTCGGCACAGGGAAAAAAAAAAACCCCGAGGCCAAATTACCCACGACACGGCCGCGAACAACTCATTATGATGTCATTATGATGTCATTATGATGTCCAGTGAAACTGCGCTCTCCCGCCGTTAAACGGGTCGCGCACGTCTTAATAACCCCCCCCCACAACCGCAGCCGAACGAAAAAAATCCCACGTCTTTGTAAGAAAACGATTGTTTTTTTTCTCAACGTATATGAAGTTACCCCCCCCACCCCACCCACTCACTCGACCACCCCCCCCCCCCCAACTCCCCAACCCTTTCGTCTTCTCAAAGGTGGAAAAGTAAAACCGGTCATTAAATCGAGATCTTGATGCAGTTGCCTGAATCATTCACGTGTAAGAACGAGGGAATGGATCGGGGGCGGTTTGTGGTGGCGGTGGCGTTAGCGGCGGTGGGGGGGAAGCGATAAGTTTGGCGGTGAGCGCGCCAGGCCACGAGTTGGATTGCCCCTCACTGCCAACACCGGCGTCGATAAAAATGTATCTGAACCAGTCATGCCCTCCACCCCTCTAGGTCGACTCAGCCTCAAACGAGTACCTGGTGCGGTGTGTAAACATTGTAAACGAGTGGGAGTCACTCAGCTGCTCGTAAACAAAGTTGATTGATCGAATTTGATGATGCGCGTCAAACGCGTCGCGCGCTTGTATCTTGCGTGTGCACGTGTACACACACACACACGTGTGTTTTATACGTGTAACACATATATGCACACACGACGAGAGTACAATGATTCCTCCCCCAGTGTAGTCGTGCAATTAGGCCAGCCGATTATTTGAACCGGACCTGGGGCTCCCCTATGTCGACTCAGTCTTAATTGAGTACAAGGTGCGATGTGTAAACATCGCCGCTAGGGAGACAAAGGCGGCCGGGGTTGTGGTGCGGGTCACCCACCCCCTCGTGCGCCTGTGCCAGCCATCATAGGTTCTCGCTAACGGCACTTGCCCCAACCGTCTGTTAAGGCTACACGGGGGATCCTTGTCCGTGTGTTTCGTGGTGGAAATTCGCAGAAGCTCCGTCATATCACTGACATCGCTTGCGGTTTCTGGATTGTTATTATATTTTTTATTATTCTCAGGACAATTCAAAAGTTTGCATCTATTTCCAGATTATTGGAACCCGGAATTCGGGACGCGTTTTCGGGTGGTGCTGCACACGCTGGTCGGCACGAAGTCCGGCGGTTCGCTCCGGGTGCTGGGAGCTTCTTTAGGAACTAAAAAAAACCAGAGCCGGAACTGGAGCTAAAAAAATGTGCTGGTGGTGGTGGTTGTGGGTGCTCTTGAATTGGATATATTTCTAAATCAATGAGAAAAAAGCATTTTCTGAATGTTTCTTTTTATTAAAATAAACGCACATCCGAGCAGGACCGAGATGGTGTTTTGCAGGCCTTCATCCAGCAGTGGATAAACAATGGCCCCGACGACCGACGCTGCCGATGGAAATCCGGTGAGAAGGAACCTAGCGCTTTGCACAGCAACACGGGGAAATACGTCTCTCCATCTTCGTACGAGTGATGTTGTGCGTGATGCGCAGCGGGCGCTGTTATAGGCTGATGCGGACCTATTCTGCAGAGCAATATGGCAGTGTACCAAAAAGAACCACGGTTGTACCGTACTTCTACGCTCCCGTATCAAAGTTCCCACCCCCCAATGATTTTACCAGCCGACCAAGCGTGGTGAAGTATGGTCAAATAGCCTCTCTGCGCACACCGTGTGGCGATCAGCTGGTCCCCATCAGGTCCCCCCCCATCCAGCAGCGGAGAAACGCAAGCTCCACGCGTCGACGTTACGCTTTGCGAATTGGCGTGGTCAACGCACAAGACATACCGGTCCGCTGGCCCTAACCTTGACAATTCTAACCCGTTCACAAAGATTTAATGATACAAAAAAACCGAAATCATTTACTTACTCTTGCCTAGATGGTTCTGGTAAAAAAAAAAAAAGAAATTTTACTGTATAGCAATGGGCTTTTATAAGGGTAATAAGAGGCTTACAAACACTGGCCCCAACAGTCTAATCAAGTCCTGTCCATGTGTACGTGTGTGTGTGTGTACATGAGTAACCGATTCGGTGGGTACACGTCAAGACTGAGAGACAAAGGCGGCCAGGCGTGGTGCTGGACACCCACCCCCGTCGGGTGCCGTGCCGGCCTTCATAGGTGCTGCTCGCTAACCGCACTTGCCCCAAGTCTGTTAAGGCTACACGGGGGGGCTTTGTCTGTGTCTGTATGCATGTGTAACACATGCAGACTGAGCTACCCTTGAAAAAGAGCTGCATAGACCAACAGCGGGCTTTACTGGGGAAATAAAAGTTCTAACTTCTGAATAAAGATCTCCCCCCCACTCGTAAAGCCACAGAGACTGCCAGAGCGAGTGCTGTTAGTTGATGCGCCCATTAAGCCAAGCAGTCCCCATGAGGTGGGAGGGTATGACCAGCAACATGCCCGGCCACCTTTGTCTTCCCTGTGCTGATGTTTACAAACTGCGCCAGGTACTCGTTCAAGGCTGCGTGGCGAGCGATGGTGCAATGAGGGTTAGCGCACCGTGCTAAAATAAACCTGGGGATCCAAGCTCAATTCCAGGCTATGACTATAGAAGAGAGGCAAGTAGTATCATAACTGGACTTCCTCAGCGCTTGACTCAGCCTTAACCTAAAGCATTTGGATCGGTGTGTAAACATCAGCATTGAGGGGAGACAAAGATGACCAGGCTTGGTGCTGGCCACATCAGCCACTTGTGCACCACGTTGGCCTAAACAGGCCCTTCACCAACAGCAGTCGATAACGCTGTACAAGGGATCTTATTGACTTCTTTTGATCCGAGCGAGTGCGTCTGTGTGGATGTTGTCCGTGCGTTTGTATGTGTGCGTATCTGTACGTTCGTTCACTAAACTATCCTGGCTCTGTCGATGAACCGCATTTCAAGGTGGACATAGACATCTGTGTATGCAACACAAACTATTCCCCGTCTCTGTTGCGGGTTTCCAGCAGCCACGGCTCACAGCAGGCCCTGGCGCTGCAGGTCTTCGTAGGTCTTGCGAGTCACCACGTTCCCGGTCGAGTCTTCGAATTCCTCCTGCGGGAACACAAGAGGTGCATAGCGTGTGATTGCAGTGTGGTTGGTGGTGGTGGAACAGTGTGGTTGGTGGTGGTGGAACACAGTGGTGGTGATAGTGGAACACAGTGGTGGTAGTGGAACAGTGTAGTTGGTGGGAACACAGTGGTGGTGGAACACAGTGGTGGTGAGAGTGGAACAGTGGTGGTGATAGTGGAACAGTGTGGTTGGTGGTGGTGGAACAGTGGTGGTGGTGGAACAGTGGTGGTGTTTGTGGAACAGTGGTGGTGGTGGAACAGTGGTGGTGTTTGTGGAACAGTGGTGGTGGTGGTGGAACTGTGTGGTTGGTGGTGGTGGAACACAGTGGTGGTGGTGGAACACAGTGGTTGGTGGTGGAACACAGTGGTGGTGATGGTGGTGGTGGAAGACAGTGGTGGTGGAACACAGTGGTGGTGGAACACAGTGGTGGTGGTGGAACACAGTGGTTGGTGGTGGTGGAACACAGTGGTGGTGGAACACAGTGGTGGTGGTGGAACACAGTGGTGGTGGTGGAACACAGTGGTGGTGGTGGTGGAACACAGTGGTGGTGATGGTGGTGGTGGAACACAGTGGTGGTGGAACACAGTGGTGGTGGTGGTGGAACACAGTGGTGGTGGTGGTGGAACACAGTGGTGGTGCGCTGTGGTGGATGAGACGAAACAGTCCGAGTCCCCAAGGCGGGAGGAGGAATCGACGCAAGTCCACGGCAACACCAACTAGGGTCGTGGTAGCAGCTCGAGAAGAGTGATACGGAGGCGACCGACTTCCGGCGAACGAGTGGCTGGAGTGTCATCGGTGAGTGCAGGATTTATTACGGAATTATGGAGAAAGGAAGAGTGGAGAGCGGTGCACCCGCCCCAGCAGTTAATACTTTTCTGACGCATAAGGCTTTGTAACAATATCATTCTCGCGTGACTTTGTAAAAGTGTATTTTGTGTATTTATTGCGCTGAGTTGCGTTTATACGTTGTTTCTTCCAGCGAGAATACATTTTGATTGAAAGTTCTTCAAGTGCAGTTCACTTCAAGTCAAGCCTGTTATAAAGCTGTTTGCCGACTCATTCCGAGTTTGCAGTCAATTTAACGGTCGTAACGCACAATGCTGACAGTTACACATAAAGTAATTTCGTAATTAAATGACCTCCCGGAAAGCTATTATGTCAAATCATCGCTTGTGCTGCCAATTGCTCCGGTGAAACATTTCAACCGGGGATTGAGTATTTATTTAGAACTTCATGCATTGTTGTCTTTGTTACTACGTTTCTATATTTTAGGGCATAAAATACCTTATATTGTACGAGGGAGCGTAGTGGATAATGCTGTGGTATAATAGTCAGCACGCCCACTGGACTTGCAATCCCAAGGTCGCGGGGGTACGATTCCATCTCCCGGTATGGCAGTTGAAACAACAATGCAGGTTTAGTGCTCTTTGAACCTTCATGTAACAAAAAAAACTAAACTAAAAAAAATCGCACAGGAGCTCCCCATGGCGGAAGTCCCCGGTGGCTCAGCGGTGGAGCTAGTCGGCTCGCAATCAGAAGCCGACAAAGTTAAAATCCTAGGTCGGGCCGATACCGGCCAACCGCGACCCATCGTACCACCCCCGGGGATCGTTTCAACATCGGACGCCACTTTTGCGGGCGAGTCAACGGTGGTCCACCTGTGTGATCCGGCTCGCCCACCCTCCCCACATCCTCCCCGCCCCCGCTCCCCGCACCCGCCACAGCAACGTGGAATTTCTTACCGACGGCTCGCGGCCGTGCGAACGGGAGAGACGAGCGCCGCCCCCTCGACGCTCGCCCGGAGCGGGAAATCGCTCGGAACGACTACCGCTTGCCGGTTCCCCCGCTCCGGCGCAGACGGCCTGCGGGCACAGACGGCCCGCGGCATGCTGTTTCCCATTACCCACGTCTGTGGGCGGTGCCCCCTCAAGGGGTTGTGCGCGCGCGCTCGCGCAGGTATTTGACTCCCGGCGGGCATTATTAAGTTGGGTTTTCTACAAATATATAATTTTTTTTTAATACGTGTATTTTATGGTTTAATGTCCAAGTTCGGTGCACAAAGAGAGGCGGTGGTGAGGGCGGGCGGGAGATGGAAGAAAGAATGTGGCGCCCTGTTGCGTTGGCAGGCTATGACCATGGTGGTGGTGGTGGTGGTGCTTGTGGGGGTGGTGGTGGTATTGGTGCGGGTACCGGTGGTGGTGGTGGTGGTCACGGGGAGCGATAGTGCAGAGGGTTAGCGCGCAAGCGTGACGAACCCGGCGACCCCAGTTCGATTCCCATTCACGGCCAACACACCGGTGACGACTGTCTGCATAAGTGGGTTCTCGCTCCCTCGTACAAGTGCTCGACAGAATCTCAATTAAGTAACCGGTGAGATGTGCGCACATCGCCACTGGGAAGACAAAGGTGGCCGGGTGCGGTGGTGCGGTCCTGGTGATGTGGGCAGTAGCGGTTAGCGCACTGCGCTACAAACATGGCGACTCAAGTTCAAATCCCGCTCACGGCCAACATCAGTGGCAAATAAACTAACCTGTCCCGGGGGCCTCCCCTAGGTGATCGTCAGCACCTGGTGCGGCGTGTAAACATCTGGTGCCGACCACACCAGGCCGCCCTCGTGCCGTGCAGCCCTTCAGAGGAGCTCGCAAACAGCACGATACCCAACAGCCTGTACGCGCTGGCTACAGGGAGGACCTTTGTATTTGGTAGTGGCGGTGGTGGGGGACTCCCCGCCTGACCACGCTGCCCTCCTCCCGCTCACGTTACGTCGCCCGAGCGAACGACCGAGCCGCCCGCCCGCCCTCCGGAGGAAATGCTCGAGGGGCGCCGTGGCGCTGGGCCCCCGATACTACCAGCGGAGCAGGGAAGTGTAAAATAGGGCGCACGGCTCGTTTAATGAGACCTGTGCCGTTAATGAGCCTCCGCGAGACGTGTTGCGCGTTAAGGAGGTGGTGGTGGGGGCGGGGGAAGCGGGCCGGAGAGCGAGTTAACGAGCGCTAAAAACTTGGCTGCCGAGCCGAGCCTTTGCGCGCACGTGCGCGTGCATAGCATAGACGCGCGTGCTCGCCCAAATTTTATAAAGTTTTTTTTATATTTTAAACTGGCTCCTTACCCCTCCACCCGCTCTCTATTAATGAGGTTAAAATGCGTCCAAATTTGGCACAAATTTCGCTGTTAAAACAGCCCGGCTCGTCTGAGCGGCGTTTCTATTAAACTTTTTTCAGAAACGTGACCACTTTTTTTTATTATTATTATTAGAAAATTCAATTTGATTTCAGGTTTTAAACCGTTAACATCCCCACCTCTGCCCCCTCCCTCCACCGTTTTCTAAGGCACGAATTTTTTAAAAGGTTTTTTTTTTTATTTTAGCACAAGGGCCGCGTTCCGCACCGTTAAAACTTTCACGCGTAACCCCAAAAAATGTATTAAATAAAAAAGGCGCGCCCGGCTGTTTACTGTTGCGGCCGTCGGTACCCTAGCGGATTTTAATAAACACGTTCTCACGAGCCGCTCGCGGGCACCGCGGAGCGAGCTGCTGTGCCTTGTCGGCTCGGCCCCCCCGGCCCTCCCGAGGCCCCATCTTTTCCGCATTTCGTCCCCGCGGTTTGTTTTAATTAATGTCCAGCTCCCCTCTGTCGCTCGCTGTCGGTGCTTTTTTTTCTTCTTCTTCTTCTTTCCGCGGCTAACTTTTAATCTGTTCCTGGCCACTTGTGCTTCTTGTTGTGGTTTACGAGCATGTAAAATGCCACTGTTGAAAAGGCGGCGCAAGAGGTTGTGGGCGGGAGTGGCCGCGGGGGAGGGGGGGGGGCATTTGGGGGGAGTAAATCCCCTCCCCAAAAAAAACACCACGCAACCCAGGGGGTGAAGGTTTCCAGCGCTGGGAGAATTCAAAGGGCCGGGGACGCAGCGAAAGGCCGGTGGAGAGGAGACCGACTACTGGAACGCCGGCTTTTCCATAGCGGCTTTCGGACATGCAAAGTTTCTAAATGTAAAATTCACAATCGTATTCATTTACAGCCACTTGTCAATCCACTGTTAAGATGACGGGCACCCCTCTGCTCCCACCGATCGCCGTGTCGGTCCCGGGGGTTGTTTGACCGTACACTTCACCACGCCGGTCAGTACGGGTTAGTGAAGGTGGAGAGGGGGGGTGGGGGGGGAGGCGCAGGACCGTGTCAGGATATCGCTGGATACCCGAGGATGGTCACGACCGGGAATTTAAACTTTGCTTTGATAACGCAGTGCATAAAACCACTGTGCCACCGCTCTGCCCCATTTATGAGTAGTTACACACACACACACACAGTGGATGAATTTCTTTTGTTTTTAGGGGGGGGATCATTTACACGATGGAATTATTTGAAATGTCTCGGCCGCTCACAAAATCTACGTCACCCAGTGCCATGTGACGCCACCTTTTGGGGGGGGGGGAAATTGCGGAAGTGCCACCATCAGAGTGACGTCCTGAAAATGTCACGCACTCTGGAGTCGGTCCCAAATGATAGAAGAGGATTTTCTGACTTCCTAACATTTCTCATCTAGGCCCAATTGTTAACATTTTTATAATTAATTTGAAAACGGGGATCACATCCCGAACACCTACGCTTCTACACAGACACACGGACACGCAGCGTGAGCGACGGAGAGTAAAGTGTGACATCTCATTATCATCATCCACGATCACTCCAATGCTGGATGTGATGTCTTCGGCAAGCTGCCGCCACCCCTCAAGGTCCTGCAACGTAACGATCCGCCCAGCACCTGCTGCAGACAGAAGCGATCTGACCCCAAACGATAGCTAAACTAAGTGGCTTATAGCAGCCAAATACTCTGCACGCATGTTCATTTTAAATGCGGTGGGAAAAACCGGAGGACTCGGTGAAAAATACACGCGACCAACACGGAGGGAATATGCAAACTCCAAATATACAGGCGTCAGGGTCTGGATGGCACCCACGACCTCCTGTAAAACCAGGCGAGGGGGAGTTAACATCTCGCCACTGCGGCGCCCATCACTTTACTGCCATGCCCGAGCCCACTTCCTCTTCTTTAGCAGCTTAAACGTAAGACGCGCGTGACGAATGGTGGCGATGCATGCTCACGAGGTTTACAAACATCACAACTGGACAGCGGGGGTGGGGGGTGGTGGACGGGAGGTGAGGGTTAAGGGTTAATGAGCCTACCACAAGCCGTGTTGTGCGCTAACGAGCGGTGCAAGTTAACGAGCGTGCAGCGGCCGTGTCGATGTATCACGCGTGTGTGCGTGCGCGTATGGCGCACCGTCTCGCACACAGATCTCGCTCCGACCGACTCATTTGTATCCTTTGCCGTTCAGTGTAACACGAGCATAAAATCACATCCAATTCATGCGAGTCGCGCGGACAATGCAATTTGTGCGCTACGAAGGACTGCCATTTCCCCGAAACGGCGCCGATTGCGTATGAGGTACATAATCGATTCTCACACACATGCACACACACGATTAAAATAGCGCATCGTCACGAATCGACACGTTGCTAATGGCCCGATAACAACCACTGCCGCCCCCTACGGCTCACCTGGGCTACAAAAGCTTGCCGACGAGCCCCAACGCGCTCGAAGCAACGGTACGCCCCGGGCGGCCCAGATCGCACGAGGGGGAGGGGGGCGCGACGCAGCACGGAGGATGCTCGTGGCCGCGGGTAATGGTTTTAGTCGGCTCCTGGGACCCAGGGGTCAACGCCCGGGGGACGGCGAGGGAGGGACGAGGGCCCCCGTGCGGGAACCCAAGGGCGGGGGGGGGGGCTGGGGGGGTCGCCGCCGCCACCCACCCCCGCTCCGGCTTTACCGACGTGTGCGCTGATTGTTATCGCATGCGTGGATTTCCCACCCCCCCCCCCCAACTCCGCCCCCCCCCCCCGGCTCCTTCAAGAGGAGAAACCTGCAACCTTCACTCTCGCCGCCCAGCGCCGTAACCCAACACCGCACTGATGGCTGCGCGGGAGATTCTGCCGATCCGATCTCGGGGGGGGGGGGGGGTGTGTGGCACCTCTCTCTCTCTCCCTCGCCGATCCCGTCACCGATCTGCCGACGTGCAACCTAACGAAACGCAGCCCCGGTCTCCCCTCCTCCTGCTGTACGTTTCCCCACCAACTCCCCCCCCCCTCCCCAACCACCACCCGCTCGATCCCACATCGATTGCCCCAACGTCTCGGCCTCCCGCCCGCCCGCCCGCCTCCCCGACTCGGGACGAACGTAGCGGCCGTGGCGCGGAGCGGTGCAATTTATCCGTCACGTCACATCTGCGCGCCGCTTTCAAAGCTGAAAGAAGGAGCGCCGCCAGAGAAAAAGGCATTTCCCAAAACCTGACCCCTCCAGTGTTCCGATCAAGGCGCGTTAAGCGCTCCTAAACTCTAACAGTTTGGGGCAACATATTTTCGTAACCCACCCTCTAAAAAAAAAATCCCATGCCCCCAGGGATGGTACATTTCAAAGAAGGTTTTGAGTTTTTTTTTTATCGTGCTCACCCCCCACTCCTGCCACCCCTCCCCCAAGGCTTTCTTGCCATTCTTTTTTTAAACCTCAAACCCAGTTTGTAAAAAAAATAAAAATCCCATCTCCCCCCCCCCCCACACGGCTCCCCTTCTCCCCGTGCTCCGAGTATCACGGCGATGACGGCCGGGTATCTCAGATCGCGGCATGGGAAGTTTCCAACGCTCGCGATTCAAGCGGTGGGCGTGAAATGTTGGGGCTCTGGAGGCTGAACCCGATGTCAGGATACGTCAAAGTCAAGTTTGCTGCGCTGCGAGTGAGCGAGGTGGCGAGCTGGCGCGCGTGCGCAGACGGCAACGTAGACGGACGGACGTGTGTGCGGACAGAAGTCCGCACGGACAGAAGTCCGCACGGTTTTTAACGCACGGACAGAAGTCCGCACGGTTTTTAACGCACGGACAGAAGTCCGCCCGGACAGAAGTCCGCGCACGGACCACGCGCGACCGCGAGCGATCGGCGGACTCGGCGAGCCACTCACCTCCGTGTCCGGTTGCCACCGCTCCGACAGCTTGCTCTGCTTGATCTTGGACCACACTGGAACGGCAAGATGCAAAGTGTTCGTGACGGTCACATCACTACATCCGATTGCTATCGACACTCGAGGCTTATTTTGATGCGGGCGCGAGAGCGTTATGTGCAACGCAGGGGATGCTGTCGCTGCGGTGTAATGGTTAGCGACAGACTGGTTGTATTCAATCTCCCGGCGCAGCGGTTGAAACAACGGAGTAATTTTTTTTTTAAATTACCCCACCGCCTCTGTCCACCCAGTGGTATAAAGAAGCTTAGGAGAGTCAAGCTGATCGGCAGGTAGCATGTGGTAAAGTGTAGGCAACTCCTTCCTCTTACAAGATGATTGGCCAGTGTGGAAGAACATGCCAAATACCCTCTTGAGGCCCGTCTCTTAAGCTCCCACTAACTGAAGGCCCCTTCCATCAGCAGTGGCACGAGCAAGCAATTGCAGGTCTGCGCTTTGACCTTTACATGTATTTTTTTTGTAGCACCGTACAGTATTGTAAATGTGGCGGTATGCCGACGGTTGGCCATACCGGCACTGCGCAGAACGGTTCCTGTTCCTATGTGTTCCTACGCCACGATGTGTCCGCAGAGGGGACGCGGCGGCAGCGAGCATTTGCTGCAGGACGGAATGAACGGGGTTCCGCACGGAGGAATTACAAGCGCAAAATCCGAGAAGGAATCGCTGCCCCCGAATAACGTGACGGTTCAGCTCACCGCTCGGTGGGGAAGGGGGGGGTGGGCGCAGTGCTGGGGGGGGGGGGGGGGCAGGGGGTGGACGGTGACTGTCAATTGTCGCACGACTAATCCTTACATGCCTACTGAAACGTTGGGTGACCCCGTGGCACCCAGCCATCGACGCCAAGAAACTCGACAATTGCGTCGCAAGGGGTAGCTCGGCGCCACGACGCACGCGAACGGGAACATCGGCGCTGACAATCGCCCCCATTGTGCACGCGTGTCGCGTGCACGGCGCCCGTTCAGCGATCCACTGCTGGATGACGGCACCACTCACCGAGCCGAGCGTGTCGCGCGTCAGTTAAAGTAAAATGGCAAAAATTCTCAGAGCTACTGGAATTAAGTAGAAAAAAAAAAGCTAATTTTGCTTCATGGGTTTTTCTTCGTGCGAGTGTGCAGTCGTTGGGATGATCGGGGGGGGGCTGAGACCATCAACTTCACGAAACGTGATAAGTCGGCTTAATCGCTATGGTTGGGTGGCTAAAAACCCGGACTTGAACCCAGGATCTCAGCGGTGCCGCTGAGACTCTCGACCTGGGTCCACCCAGCCACCTCCCGTGAGCTCGTGTGTGTGTGTGTGTTTGTGTTCGCTGCATGGGAAGGTGTAGATGAATAAATAACTTTTGCGTTTCACTGAATATGGTTATATTCTAGCTCTTTAAGATCTTTTTTTTAAATATCAGTTTGACTGCCACGTGACCAACCTATTTCTATGCCGCAGGGCGTGTGTGGATTAATAAAACAATAAAACAATCACCGGAAGGCATTTCAGAGGTAGCTCTGCAATCTCCCGATTCCGCGGGCCGTTCTCTAACGCACGGTGTGGGGTGGGGGGTGATGCACCGTCCCCCGCAAGAGTTCCGAGCGGACACTTGGTCTCGGGCAACGACGCAGATGGCAAAGCCGTTGTGAAATTGGGGCAAAAAATAATAAAAAATTAACGAGACGATCGCGAAATGAGGTTTCGCAAGCTAGCAGGGTTGCAGGACGAAACACGCGCCCGGTGAAAAACTACCTACTTAAATTTAACTAGTTCATCTTACCACATGTGTTAATAATAAGGCATCCCTATGCAACGCGCAAGCCGCTCCTAATGTTCCAAGCGATATCCATGGCGTTCCCCACCTCCCCCCCCACCCCCCACCCCCCCCCGCTTCTTGACCGCTTTCACCTGAGAAAATTTCTGCGAAACCCAAGAATCTCCCTGCTGTAATTCCAATTTCCAAAGATAACGCCCGCGCACCGCTGGAGCCCTGCGCCTCGGGGCGAGGAACGTTTGCTTTCATTCTCCCGAATTTCATCGGCGGGCGAGAGCGCGCAGGGCCGTCCCACACTCGGCCCGGTCACCCGCCGGGCACCAGCAGCATTCAAACAAGCCGAGATGAAATGGTTAGCCGTGCGCGCTAGCCCCGCTGGTCAAGAGCTGGTGGGGGGGGGGGGGGGGGGGTGGGGGGTGGAGACTCGCAGCCTCTCGCCCTCTGCCAACCACACCACTTGAATTTTTTCTCGTCTTGTTCTCCTCTCCTCTGTTTTCTTCTTCTTCTTCTCTTTTTCTTCACGCGAAACGGCCGCGCTGTTTTCATTTCTAACGGTCTTTCTGTGGCTCGTCGAAAAATAGTACTTTTTTTTTATATATGATATATTATATCGTACCGGGCGGTATTTATTTATTTACGCGAAAAAAGAAACCAGGTTTTTTTTTTTTTTTACAACGCTGGCACCTCTTCAATCGCTCAAACACAGAGAGGAGTCGAGGCGAGAGAGAGAGAAAAATAAAATACGGGTATCGAAATTGCGCGCCGAACTTTTTTTTTTGCCGGGAGAAATTTAATCCGACGAGCGAAAGGCGTCCAACAAAAGTAAGCGTACCGACAATTAGCGAGCGAGCGAGCGAGCGGGCGGGCGGGCGAGCGATCACGCTGGTGAGTGAGCCGGGGTGCGAGCGGCACGTTGGTTGTTTTGGGCGAGCAGGGGGGGGGATGTGGGAGATTTCTGGCAAGGGCAGGCGAGATCCGGCAATCGGCGCACACCAGCCTGGCAACGACGCCTCATCTCTCGCCAACATCGAAACTCGATGACACCCAAACACACCAACACCCCGCCGTGTGCGTGAAGACCCGCTCGCATGTGCGCGCGCACGCACACGCGCACTGTCACACGCACGCACGCACTGGGAGTCGAGGCATGTGCTGATATCGCGGAAAATATTGCGCGCACATTTTTTTTCATCCCCCGTTTTATTTTCGGTTGCCAATGTTTTATATATAAATACGCGGAGGACATGTGCGGATGTCGAACGCGTGAACACGGGCGGAATTATTATCGGCAAAGCAAGGGGAGCACCGGTCGAAGCGAACGGGGTTCCTCGCGCCGCGGGTTTTTGATGTTTCTGGCCGTCCTCGCCGCGTCAGGACCGAAAAACATTTCGCCGGCTCTCGACGCGGGCGGCCAGCTGCTGCCCCCGATGAAAGTCGGGCGCCCACAGGAACGGACTTAAGTCAACACAAGGCCGGAGCCGCCACCATCGCGCTCGCTCTCCCCTCGCCCCGCGGGGCTCCGTCACAGACCGCCCCGCCCGCCCGCTCGCAAAACTCCGCGTCGGCACGGGGAGAGAAGGCTGTGGGAACGCAACGTTGCCGCCACCACCAGCCCCTCCGCCGCCACAACCACCACCACCACCGCCGCCGTCGTCACCGCCGGTGGCAAGGGCGGATCACATGGATAGCTGGCGCGCTACGCCCGCTTGTCCGGTGTGCTCACTTGCCCACTCGCTTCTTAATCACTCCTCCCCCCCCCGGCCTCCCCCCCCCCCCTCCGACTTTCCTAGCGCTGCTACTGGCGAGATCAAACCCGGCCGTGGGGGCACAGAGTATCGGGCAGCTCTTGGCAGAGCCCATTTTTTCTTCTTCCCTTCCTTCCCTTCACCCCCCCCCCCCTACTACCCGACAAAAAAACAAACAGTGGAGTTTTAAATTTGTATCTAAATTCTTTGTGTCGGCTCGGCGCTGACAAGACCTCTCTCCCGCGAGACGGTCTCGTTTCTCCATTACTTACTCGCGAGCGAAGCTAAACGTCGCGGAGTTAATGAGACGGAAAGACACACACACACACACACGCGCGCGCGCGCTGGCGCGCGTGGACAAGCGAGCGAGCGAGCGAGCTAGCTAACGCGCGGGCGGAGGAAGCACGTGTGAAAGCGATGGCACCTCTGCAGTCCGGCCCCCTCCACACTGGGAATGCGGCGGCTGCCAACCCCCCCCCCCCCCCCCCCCCCCCCCCCCCCCCCCCAATTCCCCCCACCGCTCCCACTGGACACGCACGCCCGCCACAATATGCGGACGACACTGTGCGCACGCACGGACGGACACACGCAAGCACGAGCGCAAAACGCCAAGACGCGCGCTAAGACCCCCCTAATTCCACCGCTCGAGGAGTGAAAATGCGCCGGGAGCGTGGGAACGGCGCGCGCCGTTTCATCTGGCGGGGGTCGCGGCGCTGCGCGGCGAACGGGCGAGCGAGCGGAGAGAACGCGCGGTCCGGGGTCGGAGTGCGCGAGAGAGTGGTTGGAGGCACGCGTGCGTCTGTCTGTCTGTCTGTGCGTGTGTGGGGGAGCGGTGGCGCAGCGAGCCGAGTTCCATTCCCGCTCGCGGGCTAACATCGACGAAGAATGTCTGCACCAGCACCGAGAGCCTCCCCTAGGTTGACTCGGCCGTAAATTAATACCTGGCGGGTTGCGGAAAACGTCATCACCGCGGAGGTAAAAGTGGCCGGGCGTGGTGCTGGCCACCCAACCCTTCCCTTCGTGTGCCTTGTCATCACTAACAGAACTTGCCTGAACAGCATTTTAAAGGCTATACGGGGGATCTTTGTCTTTTTCTTTGTGTGAATGTAAGATGCGGGGTGTGTGTGTGTATGTAAGGATTGGTGTGTGAGCAGGTGCTGAGTGTGACCTGTAGTCTACGCATGCCAGTTGTGTATTAAGGTGCCGTGTTGGATATCCGAATCGATGACAGGGTGTGCGAAGAGGTGTTGAGTGCATGAATAGGTGTTGTGTGCGTGTGTGATAGGGTGTTGATACTTGGCACAGTGGGCACCACAGGTGGTGCATCTGTCAATCATCCCAGTCAGTCAACCCATAATATCTGGGTCTGTCCTGCGACCTCCTCTCAGCATCAAGCCTTCCACACCTCAAGTAACAGACTTAAAGTGCACCTAGCTTGGCACAAATACTGCGGTGACGTCACTCTCACTTAGTGGTGCATGGTGGCTGTTGTTGTTGATGGTGTTGAGTCAGTGAACGTGTGCGATAGGGTGGGAGCGGTAGTGTAGCGGCTGGAGCGCTGCGCTACGAACCTGGCGACCCGAGTTCGATTCCTGCTCACGGCCAACACCAGTAACGATTATCTGAACAAGTCTTGGGCATCCCCTAGGTCGACTCGGCCTTAAATGAGTACCTGGTGCGATGTGTAAACATCGCCACTGGAAATAAAAAAGCGGCCGGGCATGGTGCTGGCCACCCACCACCCTTTCGTATGCCGTTTCGGCCTTCATAGGTACTTGCTAACAGCACTTGCCAAGTCTGTTAAGTCTATACAGGGGATCTTTGTATTTGTTATTGTGGCAGTGTAGTGCTTAGCGCGCTGCGCTACGAACCCCGCGACCTGAGTTCGACACCCACTCATGACCAATAACAGCGCCTAATATCTGACCCGGTCCTGGACCTTCTCGAAGTCGACGGAGCCTTAAACGAGTACCCGGTACGGTGTGTAAAGCCTCAGCACTTGGGGAGACAAAGGCGGCCGGGCGTGGTGCTGGCCACCACCCAACCCTCTCGTGCGCCACACCGGCCTTCATAGGCACTCGGTCGCTGACAGCACTTGCCCCAACAGTCTGTAAAAAAAAAAAAAGGGCTACACGGGGCATCTTTGTATTTGGCAGGGAAGAGCGTTGGGTGCGTGACGGGCACACACACATGGCGGGCGCCTGTTGCCATGCGGCGATTCGCCGCGTGAACGTGCGGGGGTGGGGGGGGGCTCACGTGCGACGGCGTCCTCGATGGCGGTGACGTTGGCGAAGTGCGCCGTGTTGGGGATGCCCAGGCAGCGCATGCCGTGCGCGTGTCGCCACTCCTGTTGGGGTCATAATAAAAACGCGTCATCGTCATCGTCGTCATCATCAGCAGCCTCGTCAGCGTCGTCAGGGTCACTTCCTCAGACCCACAGACATAGAGGTGCCGTGTCCTGGCTCGCCAGGAGAAGGCAGTACAGCAAGTGTGGACTAAATCGCCACCTGTTTAATCGATCTGTACAGTGGGAATAGAGCGTTGCCCCCTCGCACAAGGCGTGGGTTTTCTCCAGGTGCTCCCGGTTTCCTCCCCAAGTGAAAAATAAACTCGTCGTCATTAAGTGGGCCTGAAAAGATCTTCAATTAAAAAATCCAGTACAGCAGCAAAGAGAATCCTGCGACTCAGTGCGGCTCTCCTGGATAACGAAGCAAACAATCAGCGACACATTGTAGAGGTTAGTGCAATGCTAGCTTCACGCTCTGAATGGGAATTTCCTTTGGTCTCATAACATTACATTGAGAGGACAATCGCAATACATAAATCCATAAAATAATATCTTTAGGAAAATGTGTGTGAAATGAATACTCGTTAAATGGCAGACGAGACGTGGATCTGCACTTGAAAAAATGGCTCGACAATATTCTAAACTAAAAATAAACGACCCTTTCATGTGCTTGCAGCGCAATTCGAAGCACTGTTATCCATCTTAGGCACTGTTTATTCGTCTTAATTTGCCAGCTTAGTAAAGAACAAACACGTAGGAGTGTGGAGAGATTTAAATTTAGCCGATACCTCATCTGCCCCGTGCATTTTCAATGCATTCAAAATACACGCGGGAAGGATTTATGTAGATATCGTAAACTGTGTCCGAATGCAGTTGCATTCACGAGTGTAAACAGAGCAAAGTCAAACACCCCCTCCCCTATAGCCGTTAGCGAAAACCTATTAAGGTCGGCAACAAGCACAGCCGCCTTCATCTCCCCAGTACCGACGTTTATATATATTCGATGACGATGTTGGCCAAGAGCGGGAAATAAACTCGGGTCACCGGGTTCATAGTGCAGTGTGCTAACCATTGCACCACCGCTTCCCCACATTCAATCACACAAACCCTCTCCATTTCACACCGACGCACATGAATGAATGTCTATAATCGCAGCGTGAAAACCATTCCGCCACCACTCGCCACGCACTATATAAGACAAAGATACACCCATCCCCCCTAGTATAGCCTTTAACAGACTGTTGGGGCAAGTGCTGTGGTTAGCGAGCATCTATGAAGGCCGGCACAGTGCACGAGGGGGGTGACTGGCCAGCACCATGTCTTTGTCTCCGCAGTGCTGATGTTTACACACCACAGCAGGTACTCATTTAAGGCCGAGCCGAGTAAGCGAAGGTCCAGGACCGGTTCAGATATTAGCCGTTGTTATTGGTCGTGACGAGGAGTCGAACTCGGATTGCCAGGTTTGTAGCGCAGTACGCTAACCAGTGCACCGCTGCTCCCCATTATATAACACTACATATAACAAACACCACACACAACACGCATTCCTCGTGTGATGCAGGCAACACATGCCACCGAGCATGTCAAGCTGTCAAACCTACATAATCAAATTAGGAACGCACACGCACAGGCTTTCTTAAAACATTTCCTGGCAAAACAACAGCAGCGATCGGACTGTCGGGACGCCCTCTGTGAGTGCTCGTCGCCAGTCGTGGCCACACAAAACCCACGCGGGGATCTGGGGAGGGGGGTGGGGGGGCAAGGGGGGGGGGGGGAAGACATCGTCTTCTGCATCGGAGGCAGCGCTGGCGTTAATTCGGGCTTACCGCCAAAATAAAAAATAAAAATCCCTGACCGCCCGTCCGATCCAATTCTAAACGCATCTCGACGTACGGATAACGCATTGCGTCGGGCGAGACCTCACACGCAGCAGCGGAGTGCAGTCAGGAACTTGCAAAAGAGAGATTGCGGGCATCATCACCCGTTATCGTCATCCACTGCTAGATGGAGGTCTCCCCATGCTACTGCTGTCTCTCACGAACCAGCGATGCAACGGTTCCACCTAGCACCTACACGAGTTGATTTCGCCACTCCATCTCCTAAACCGGTGTGGGTCCTATCAGACAAGAGTTACATTCCTTGGCTGCCGCTCCATCACCATATTCCCCGAACGTCTACTGGACAGGACACATCGCCAGAAGGGACGATGAAGCCCGTTGGGGGAAGAGCCGTTTTTCTTTTTGAGATCAATCTTCCTTGAAGGAGCGACGATGGCTTAGCAGCTTCTTGCTGATGACAAAAACATGTAAACACGCCGCTCCGATGGGAGCATGGGGAGGGATGGGGAAGGGATGGGGGCGGCAGGGAGGAGGGGGATGAAGAAAAGAGGCCGTGGGGGGGGGGGGGGGGGGTGTAAGGGCGGGGGTGGGGAGTTTGGAGAGAACACGACGAGGTTACGCGGGTGATGGATCCACATTTGGACGCTCCGTTTATTTTCCCGCGATTGCGGATCGCAATGCGGCAGGGCGCCGGGGCAAAAAAAAAAAACACACACACACAAAAACAAACAGAGCGAGCAAGAATCAAACCGGCATATTAGGTGATCTTCAAAATAACCGCCACGGTCAAAGCGAAGCCGCATGACACCGCCGCGCCACAAACGAAAATCGGCTCGCGCACTCCGGCCGACTTTGCGTCGCCGCGCGATATTTGTTTCCTATCCCTGTGATATCGATGGTGGGGGATGGTGGGGGGGATGGGGGGGGGTGGGAAGCGCGAAAGAAGAGACGGCGGTGCCTCTGAGAGAACAGGGGAGGTGGTGGGCGGCGCTGGTGGCGGAGAGACGCAGACAGGGAGGGATGGAGAGGGCGAGCGAGCGAGAGAGAGAGGGAAGCGGGAGCTTTACGATACATCCTGGGAGATCACGCGAGCGTGCTGCAGGCTCAGTAAATACCCAGTAAAGTCGGCCGAAGGAACTCCATCAAAATCAAATCTGCGCAGTGTGGGAACGGAGGCCGGGGTTCTGGGAGTGTACGTTTAGCTGGGGGGGAAGTGGCGATGGGGGGGGGGGGGTAGTGGCTTAGAAGAGGGCAAGGGATGGGTTGGGGGGCCATGGGGGTGTTTGGGGAGGGGGGGGGGGGACACGGCTGGCCAGGGGTGGGCGGACTCGGAGGGACTGAGAAGGGGCTTGGGTCACTTCCGCCCTTGGGGGGGGGGGGTTCTATAGAGAGAAAAGTAAATACACACGCAGCAGATGTGAACACACGGCGCAGGAAATTAAAATGTTACGGGATACCTTGCGTCGACACAGCTGTGGGTCCCCTTTCTTAAACTACGAGGGGATGATGAGGGAGGGAAAAAAAAAATCGGGGGAAATAAAAATAATAACAAATTATTTAATTACCATTGTTTCCACTGAAGACAGCTATTGGCCGTGTGGTGATGACTTACTTATTACCAAAGCAAAAAAATATTGGCGGCGCGTTAACGAATGCCGTTATCCCCCCCCCTCCGCAACCCCGATGAGATTTGTGATGCCCACTGATTACTGCTGCCACCGTGCGTAAGCAGTTACACGTGGTAACGTTACCTGCAAACTTACGTCCTGAATGATTCGTTGATTAAATCGCGCCGATATCGAATCTTAACTAACCGACCCGACGCATTTGCTTGGGTGAGGGCCGACGTTTGTCCACTCGTACAAGCTGTGTGCAAGGGGTTTTGCAAATTCCGTAACCGCTAGAGGCCGCTACCATTCACTGCAGCGGAGCGGCGGTGGCTACGGACGTGGCCTGTAAACCAGCCGACTGCGGAGACAGCGAGAGTTGGTGGACCGCGCGCACACACACACACGTCGCTCGACGTTTCACGTAAACAAAGCAAATCACAACGATTGGTGCCGAGTTCTGTCGAGACTTTGACACCGCAACTCAAACTTGTATTGAACCACACACAGCAGGTGGCTTACAAAATTAACCCAGCGGGTCTCCACACACAGGTGCGTGCCACGTCCCCCGTATGTGTGGGTGGTTGTGGTGACGATTATCTGAACCGGTCCTGGGCATCCCCTAGGTCGACTCAGTCTCAAATGAGTGGCTAGCGCGGTGTGTAAACATCACCACTTGGGAGACAAGGGAGGCAAGGGCGTGGTGCTGGCCACCCACCCACCCACCCCCCCCCTAAGTGTGCCGTGTCGGTCTTCATAGGTGCTTGCTAACAGCACTTGCCCCAACAGTCTGTCACAGGCTACACGGGGGATCTTTGTCTTTGGTGGCGCCACGTGGTTAGCGTTGCACTTGCGCCACGAGGCCGCTCACAAACTCGACCGAGTCCGGTTCCCGCTCACGACCAAATAACAGTGGCCGGATCGGAGGACAAATGGCAACAATCTGAGGCGAGACTCCCTCCCCAGTTAGGTGTCGAGGAGGTGCCACACCCTGAGAAGGCGGATGAACGTCTGTCCCTTCTGTATGGGATAGTGCTGCCGCTCCCCTCGCACAATATCTTAATTTACGTCGGTAGCGCCGGCTCACTGCCTAGCTGCTTCTGGAATCGAACAATGACCAAGAATTGTCGTAATTCATTGAGTCCATGGTAGTAGTGGGGGGCGTAGCCAATAGTTTTCCCAATAGATAAAGTCATCTGTAACTGTGCAGAGCAAAAACTACGCTACGTACCCCAACATGTGCCGCTGGACGGGAGGTAATAATAGAGGCATGGCGATATTATCGGCGTCGCCACATCAGCCGCATCACACTGGGCCTGTCTTGTAGGGAGTTTCCTGTCTTCGGTCGGGAGGATGTGGGGGTGGCCGCCGTTTTTAAAGTCGACATCATCGACCACTATTACCAGTTCTCATAACGACGGGGACTTGGTCAGCATTGACCCATTGGCCCGAAACTTGCACCTTGGTACCAAGGGGGGTGGGGCAAATGCTAACAATGATTTTCTTGGAGGATTTCATCGCGAGATCACAAATATGTACGGGATAGCAAGTTCACCGCTCTAGCTTTTTTTTGTCTTACAAGAGAAATAAGTCAACTGTGATGCGATACGAAACATCTACAGAATACAAAATGAAATGACACACGTCTGTTAAACAGGCAGCATATACGGTAAGCTGTATACCCCCATGGTGGATATGAGTAACATTTGCCACCCCAGGTGGTACCGACCAACCCGTGGCTCCCCCTACCACTCCCTGCCCCTTCCTGGCTCATGGACTATGGTGTTGTGAAGCGGAGGATAATCACCGGACGTTTCTGGGCCATTTTTATGACCGTGACGGCGGGAAAAAATCCGCAGCGCATCCGAGAGGAGGAGTGTGGGATGAGGACAGTCAGTCAAAGTAGCGGCACCCCTTCGACCAAACAAAACGTTGAATGTGACCCTGGGTAAGCGAGACGCAAAGCTGCAAGCTCAGGAGAGGGGTCAAATTTAAAGCGTGGAAGGGGTCGGGGTTTACATCGTCCGGTTCTCACTCGCACGCACCAACGCGTGTTTCGCGAGCAAGTCTGTCAATTGGTTTTAATCAACAAATCGACACATTGTTGCACAGCTTATCCAACCAACCAACCCACCCACCCCCCCAACCAACCAATCAATTATAGCCTGTACAGCTTTATAGCTCATCGGATTCCTCCAGTTTAAAATAAAGATTCTTGATTCTGAACCGCCCAACACACACCACCCTATCAACCGCCCAACAAACCAAGCAACAGCCCACCGAACCAACTAACTCCCCAAGCATACCGCCAAGTCACATGCGGGACACGCAAATACGGGGGGCTGCACCGAGGCAGGGGCACACGGTCGCAGACAGGAGGCTGTGCGTGCGACTCACCGCAAAGTGTCTCTGGAAGGCCTTGGGCCCGCGGTACGTGTAGTTTCCGCAGATCTCGCAGTTGTAGTTGATGTTGAGTCCGTGCAGTTTGTAGAGCCAGTAAGGGATGGGCTAAACACAGAGGACACAACGGGGGGTGCGCATAGGAGGAGCGCGCGCGAGAGAGAAGTTAGGCGAAGTTTGACGAAGAAGTGAGGTGTCTCTGACAATGTGGGTGGGGGTACGGAAAGCTCAATGATGGATGAGTTGGGTTAGGTCAAGGTTCAGGGCCATGTACCCTCCAAATGTGATGATGAAATTAAGTGGGAGCCTATGGCCTGTGGGCCGTACGAAACAAATTCTTGGGCTGAATTCGACCCACACCTTTGTGGGTTTCCCACACCAGCCATGGACTCAAAACAGACCCACTAGACTCACATGGATGAAGACCCACTGACACACAGGAAGACACAGACTCTAATACTCATCCGGAGAAACACACTCACAGGGCGACGCACAGACTCGTACAGAGTCCCAAAGCATACCTCTGAGTGTGGACGACACCGTGTGGAGAGACAGGAGGAAACTTATGTGGGTCAGAAGGTGCAAGTGATGCAAGTGGAAAGAAAGAGACGAAGAAAGAGGTGGGGCGATGCAGTGCGATCGGACGCGGTGGCCCGAGGAGCCGAAAGAGAGATGGCGCAGGACAGGGCAACGTGGATAAAGGTTGGCAAGGACAGCGGACCCCACATGAGTGGAACAAACGCGAGGAAAGAGGCGGCATCGTGTGGCATAGAACGAAGAAATGGGTAGCGTTCGGCCCGTGGGCAACAAGATTCCCCCACCCCTGTCGTAGGGGCGGTCACCCTCACCACGCGTGGGGGGGGGGCACAGTTGGCTACGCAGAAGTACAACATGCATATGTACATGTTGTGTACGTGTCACCTGTGGCTATGAATAAAATCGAAAACACTGCCAAGATCCTCAACCTTTGTATTGAGATTACAAAGGTTGGTCGTGAGCAGGCTTTTATGTTTGGCAATTTTTTTTTTCTAAAGTGTACTGCATCTGTGGATTTCTATTGACCCTGGAAATTGGCACCATTCTTTTATGAAATGAAATGGGCAGATAATAATACTCCTGACCCCCCCCCGCGACCCCGTTACCAAGCCCACTCGTGCACTCTCCCCGCCTGACGGCCGCCCGCCACGAGCACCTTGCCGTCCCAGCCGAGTGGCAGGTTCTTGGGGTTGTAGATGATCTCGTTCTCCTCGTCGTCGCTGTCGCTGTCACTCAGGTTCTCCTCGTCCTCCTCCTCGCGCTCCTCGCCCGTGCGCGCCTGCTTGCGCTGGACGTTCTCGCGCGTCAGCTGCCGCTGCTCCTGCTCGTGCCACCGCGGCACGGTGGCGGCAGGGGAGGATGCGGCGGGGAGGGGGGGGGACGGCGGGCGCGCAGAGGTGACGATCGCGCAAACGAGCGCGGGGTTTTATTTTTGCATGCGTGGGCGCAAACGAGCACCCCAGAAAGCCGGTGCAGTGATGGGAGACACAAGTTGGACGCTGAGCTCACGGGCGGACACACCGATTCCAGATAACGGACGCCAAGTCGGTTCGAGCTCTGTATAGCCCTAAGGGATAGGCAAACACCGCCCACCGCGCACCAACAAGTTTGTCAGAGGCGGTGTGGGGCGAAGTGGTCGGCAGCCGAAGGCAGTGCAGCAGAATCCGGCACAACCACCCCACCCACCTTCTCCAATCAGCACTGCCCAGTGTGGTGAAGTATGGTCAAGTAAACCATTACTGAGCAATCGGATTGACATAAAGGGAGTCCGAAATTCCACAGAGGGGCATGAGGTCGCTATTTATACAACGTTGCTCGGTGTGCCGATTGGGCCACACCGCAAAGACAACTTGTTCTTGCCAATAACATCTGGAAATGTATCGGAGTTTGTTTAACAAGCCCGACTCACTGATGAGACCCATAGGGATGAGACCCATAGGGTTGAGACCCGTCCGGGGTGTTTTTGTTTTCTTGATAAAACTCATGCAGCTTGACGACATTCTATCCAGAAAGCCAATAGGATAAATTTAATGACATTTTTTTTTTACACCAAAAACCGCAGGGTTCCCATGCTAGAGGTCTGGTGGGGGTCAATAGTTCCATCCAACAACCATCGTGGTGGGATTGGTGTCATGGTAAGAGCACGGAAATACACTACGATCCCCCTTAGTGTGCCGCTGGACGGGAGGTAATAATAGTTTGGGAGGCTTGACGGCGTTATTGGCGACGTCATCGGCATCGTCGTCAGCCGCGGCACGGAGTGGAGGGGGTTACCAGCCTTCGATCTGCAGGAAGTGGTGGGTGAGGGTGGGGTTGCCATCATGTTTAAAGGGGCCCAAAAAATAAAAACAATTTAAATGCGGTCTTTGAAAATAAACAATAAAGGAAAGTCAACTAAAAAAAATTACATTTAGAAAAATATATATATTTTTTAAATAAGATTAACAAAACTGATGAAAAAAGACAGTGCCCAAGACGAGTGTCATGTTATAACACGAAGCTTGTCAAAAACTTTTCACTTTAAATATAACCAAAATCAAGCCCCAAGCGTGAATTAAATTTGAAGTTACTTTGAATGAATCACTGCCGTTGAGTCGTTGACGCCTCTTAATATCTTGCATCTCATCTCTACCGTGCATCATTTTGGCGTCTCTGAAAACCGTACGTGTCGGCAGGCCACTCACTCGGTGACCCATGTCGCTTATCCCACACGTGGCTAGCCGGGGGCCCGCCAGTTAATCAGCCCTGCGCTACAAATAAGAGCCAACCGAGTGGGAGAAGTAACGGCCGAACCCGCTCGGGGTCCTGTCCATCAAACGGGGCGATAAACAACACCCGGGTCCTGCAAGACGCTCAGAACAGCCATAAACGTCAGTGAAAAGGCTGCGGGCCAAAACTGTTACAGTGTTACTTTACAAGTTATTTTTTATGCTGCGTAAATATCCCCTTAATAGGAACACATGCGCGTGATATATTTTTTACGGCATTCCGTGTTATACATTTAAAAAAAAATCAATCTCTAGCCGACGACCCTCCTCGTGCCCCTCCAGACCTTCGTCGACTGCCCGCCCATCTGGGTGGTGGCGGATGAGGGGGATAAAGAGACGCAACAAAGGAAAAGTTCGATGAAGGGAGCCGTCGGCAGTGTTACAACAGCGCGGGAGGGGGGAGAGGGAGAGAGGCGGGGGGGAGCTCGGCAAATTTGACAAATTCAGACGTCCACTGCTTCCACCGCAGGGGAGAGGAGGGGGGGCGCACTGCGGAATATTACGGTGCGCAAAGGTTTATTGTACGATCGCGAATCTACACGCGCGTGCGACCACGCTACCAAAAAAGTTTCGTGTCGTTATCAGATGCCTCGCCCGGCCGACGGACTCGCGGTGATTTTTTCCGCAAGCGCGAGGGACTTAGCAAACAACTGGATTCGTTTTTCAAACCTGCGTATCGTTGTCTCCTGCCTGGTCTTAAGAGTGCCAGGGCCCGGCTCTCTTACCCCCCCCCCCAACAGACAACCTTAAGCCAACCCACCGTCTCCCTCCACCGGCCACCGGCCACCGCCCCCCCCCCCCTGCCCACCCCCCACCACACGCACCCTCCAGCGCTCAGGCAGTGGGAAATCAAGATTAGGGATTTTCCGGGGCAAAAGGATTATTTCCACGCAGTCCACAAGCGCCATCAACTGTGGGATTTGTTGAGAAACGCGCCAAGTAGGCGCGTACACACAAACACACACACGCCTTTTATTTATTTCAACCGTGCGTTTTTTTTCCCAATAAAAGAGTGATTTAAAAAATAAACAAGGGGGCAAACGAAAGCGGCGGAGAGAAGGCCCGGCGTTAAAACACCGGGCCTCTCCGAACGAACGGAGCGGTTGCGGCGATTTTTATTTTATTTTTCTTCCCAGGGACGGTTTTGATGCTCCGCAAAACATTCACGGCATAACGAGCACGGATGTTTTTAACATTATAACGTTCAAAAAAAATTCCCAGCGAGCAAGGGAAGAAAAACGCCGCCGGCTAAACTGGCAGAATATCCCACACAAAAGCTGCCCCGTTTGGACGGAGGCGGCGGGGGTAGAGGGCGAGAGGAGGGAGAATCATAAAAAAAGAAAAAAGCAAAAAAAGAAGAAACGTTCCGACATAATAATCCACCGCCTGCGGGGAATAAAAATAACGTCATAAATTCTAAACCGAGAAAATGGAACCAGATTTTTTTTTAAGGGCTAATTTATAACAGAGGGGGCGACGGAAATGTTTGTCCGATACCCCCCGAAACAGTGCTCTTTCGTGCTCCCCGCTAAAACGGCGGGTTTTGGCTGGACTGACCGCACTAACAAGCGGAAAATAAGAGGCACAGACAGCTTGCCAACGTCAGCTGAACCATGAAAGACAAAGCAAAAATGAGATCAAATTTTATGGCCGTACACACTCACTCGCCCGCCTGCTGCCTCACCGCCCCCCCCGCCCGCCCCGCCCCCCCGCCGACTACCGCCGTACCAACTCCCCTTCATCCCGGCCCAGTCCCGCACACCGACCCACCGTCAACGGTTGCGTTGAAACGTCCTACAGTCTACCACCTTCCGTCACGGCGCAATTAAATTACAGCGGCGAAACCGGCTCCCCGCGGTTTGCGCGTTTTGTTTGATTCGCTCACGGCTGTTGTGCTGCGTGCACAGGTAAGCCGGCTGGCTGGCCGGCTGGCTGGCAGCAGAGGGGTTTACGGAGACCCGAGGAAGGAGGATACGCGTGAAGGGAAGGAGGATCTTACCCCGAGGATCTCTGCGTATTCATAAATCTGTGCCTCCAGCAAAGCAATTTCCTTGTTTCTTTCCATGTCCCTGCGCTCGGGCACACGGCAAAAACACGCACACACACGCAAGTACACACACACACACACTAGGATGAGCGCCGAGCGCCGTCGAGTGGGACAGACGGCGCCCTCCTCCGTCCGCCGCTGCCGCCGCCGGCATTAAACCAGCTTCAATCCTCGCTATGCAGCGAGCCGGAAAAAAATCAACAACCAACCGAACCCTCCGTGCCCCCAAAACTCCCACCCCCACCCCTCCCCCCCAACACACCGCCAACCCCAAAAATCTCCCTCCGGCTACCCCTCCCTGGGAGGCGAACAAACACTCTCCCACGCACGCCAACGTCGCCACCACCAATCTCCTCTGCCCACCGGCGTAGCGACAGCTGCAAAGTTATCGGCTCTCACGGCACGAGGAACTTGGAGCAGCAGGAGGAGCAATGCCAGTTGACGATCGCGCACCCGTGGTGCCTGTCGCGCGAGCAGGAGATGGGCGATGCGTGCGTTTTTATGCTTGGGAGTCCACCTTGTGGGCGCCACGGCTGCGAGATGTTAACTACCTCGCCTGGTATGCAGGAGGTCTTGGTTTCGATCCCGACCGTGACACTGTTGTATATTTGGAGTTTGCGTGTCTCTCTCGCTGTGCTCGCGCGTATTTTTCTCCCGGTCCTTTTAAAATCAACATCACCACGCGTTTAAGAGTATTTGGCTGCGATAAATTTCCACGTGATAAGCCGCTTCATTGAGCTATCATTTGTGGCTAGGCCGCTTCTGAAAAAGACCAATATAGCTTAGTGGGCCTTCCCTGGTAAAACAAAAAATAGTTTAGTTTAGTATGTGCGATATGTCAGAGCATTTACTATTGCCACATTCAGAGCCGAGCCATTGCGGGGGTCCAACACGGTATGGGGTAGCTTTCCCACTGGCTATTTGCCGTGCCAAACCAAATCACAATACACTGGCCACTCAAGACAACTGATTCTGGCTAGGGGCCAAGCAGGGCCAGGGGCAGTGGCACGGCTCGGCTTCTGCAGTGGAAAAACAAACTGGCACCTCTTGACCTCCACCGAGCTGGCTCTGCACAGTCACATCACAGCTCAGTTGTCGAGTGGAAAGAGAGGAATTAGATTCGAATTTGTGCAGCTGCACATTGCCTGTATGGATCTTCGACTGTTCTCAGCTCGTATGCACGATAGGCTTTCTTTCCAGGTTCTTAATTTTCCTCCTGCATGAAACCAAACTCGCATTAGCAGAACTGGCAAAGGTGTCGAACCTCAGCGAGACTTCACTGGATAACAAACAACGTTAACGTACGAATGTATGTTGAACTCCTTTCGCACTGTACGTAGCCAAACCGTGCTAATCGGAGGTGCGACATCAATTCGCGGTTGGCAGCCAACTCAACGCTCGATCCGTCCCGGGATGGGTTTCGATAAAAAAAAAAGTTCCACTTTTTTGCTTTGCCACGTCAACCGCGGTTGCCATTTCACAGATCAACCCGTCCCCGCCATCGGAATGTGGAATTTCCACCAGCGGCTCAGGTGGCAGCCAATGGAAAACGAGCGCAGCCCCACTGCTCGTGCGAGGGAAACAATTTGACCTTGGCTTGACCTTGGGGGAGGGCGGCGTGGGTGGCAAGCGCCCACGTGTCAGCTGCCACCACCCACAGGGGGTGTTAAAGTGTGAAGCATACTGGACGCCTTGCGATACGGGACACCGTACATGGTGAAACTCGAAACGTCCTCTCACGCGAGGGTTTAGCACAAGTCACGCAGCAGCCGCGGAGGCATCGCCCCGTGAACGGAGGCCCGACAATCCAAACTCATGCCTGCCTTGCACGAACAGCCCTTTTTCTCAATCCACTGCTGGATGAGGGCCTCACCCCCCCCTTCCACCCCCCCCAAGCCGTGTTGTTCATGGGGGTTACGCGACAATATTTCACCAAGCCTGTCAGTGCGGGATGGTAAATCCGGGAGGCATAGCAGTGTATTACAACCACGGATTTTGCTGCACTGCGCGCTACTGACAGCGTAGTCCTCAGGCAGCAGCCTATGACACCTGTTGTATGCATGGTGGTCACCATTCCCAAGCAATGGCCAGGCTAAAAATCTGATTAGCTTCCGAGCTCCGATGAGATCGGGCGTATTGTGGGCTATTTGATCACAGGTTTAAAAGTAACGAGAATAATTTGTAAATAAAAACAATGCCCTTTTAACTCAGGAAAGCATCAATGGGTCTCAGGAAACTTTAGGCAAATTACGTAAATGAGCACTTAGCTCCTCACGGCAGAACACTGGGAAAAAGCCACCATGCGTAACAGCTCCGCACAGATGCATTCAAGAAATCCACTGCTGGAATGCCATCTTATCGTGGATGTTTCTGTCAGCATGTAACCGTTGCACTGCTAGGAATAGCCTTCCGTCCATCAACTTCCATTCCTTCTTTTCCTTAAAATAAGGCACCCCCCCCCCCCCCTTTAAATCTATGTTGAAAACTAATTTCTTTAGGACTGACTTTAGTGTTTAGTTTGGTGCCCTTCCCCCGCACCTCCCATGAGCACAGTTGGCTACGTACGGTGCGAAAGAAGCTCAGCATACATACGTACAAACCTCCACGCATCCTTTTATTCTCTTTCTTCATTCTTCTCTCTAACTCTCCCCTCTTCCCTTTTCTACCCTCTGCTTTTCCAATATTTTCCTAAGCGCCAACAACAAGGGACTCCCCCCCCCCCCCCCCCTCCTGGAGCGCCCCACGCGATTATTCCGGTTCAGTCCACGCCCCGTGTACTCCCCGCCCCGGCCCACCACCGGTTTCCGTTGAAACAGATAAAGCAAAAATAAGGAGACCAGACGTCCACCCGTTCACCCACGGTGCTGACCGCTGTGCAGAGGTGACGCAGGGGGCAGCCGCGTCAAGCCAGAGTCGGTGACAGAGAGAGAGAGAGAAAGAGAGAGTGGAACAGCTGAACGTCAAGTTAAATTTGTCCCATCTGGCCCCGAGCCATCGGACCCTGGTGGGGGAAGTGGGGGGGGGGGTGGGACCATGCACTCACTTCTTGCTGCCCTTGGAGCTCTTGGCCTTGGATTTGGTGAAGAGCGAGGGGTCCAACGACTCCAGGGACTTCCCCTTGGTGCTGAAGAGGCGCTGAGCTCGCTCCTCTAGAGTGCTGACGCACATGTAAAGGAAAGGATAAAGACCCCCCCCGCGCTTCCCCCCCCCCCCCCCCCCCCCGTGTGTGGCCTTTAGCAGACTGTTGGGGCAAGTGCTGTGGCAGCGGGGAAATTGTGGTGTGGTCAGTACTACGCCGGCCGCTTTCTTCTCCGCCGGTACTGATGTTTCTACACACCGCACCGGGCGCTCATTTAAGGCCGAGTTTACTTGGCAGAAAATATCAAACGGTGCAGCCCTGCAATTGTTTACTCATGCAACTGCTGCCAAAAGGGCGTCCACTGCTAGCTGTATAGAACCCCCCCTAGCAGTGGTACTTTAGCCTACTCTTCCACAACCAATCAAGACATCTTAGTCTAGTCGGGATTACCCACGCGCATCCACCCCGCCCATCGACTAACTGGTGTTCCCCATTGTTACGGATGGGTGGACAGAGGTGGGGGCGGGGGGAATCAACTGCCGAGCCAAGGGCCGGGATGGCAAGGCCAGCGTGCTGACCATTACATCATGGCGGCGGTCTCATTAGCGTACCGCATCGTCGTTCCCCTTACATTGAACATTGAGAAGTCGTTTGCGTACAAGGAGCGTGACGTGCAAAACCAACAACATTCTCAGACGCCCGCACGCAGCTCGGTGCGAGCGCGCAAGGGGCAGACGGATCGACGTCCCGGGGCTCGGGCCAAATCACACGCATGTGCGCGGCATTTAACTTGAAAACAACAAAAATCCCGCGGAGATGAACGTCTCGGTTTTTTTTCCCCGAGCTAGGATTGGGGTCCCCAGAGCCATCGTGAGACCGCGAGTCTCTCTCCTCGCCCTCCCCCACCCCCCCCCCCCCCCCCCCCAAACGTTTCCCGGTAGAGCGTAACGTGCGTGCGTGAGTGTGTGTACGTGCGTTAACTTGAATGGGGCGCGGTAGCGTAGCGGTTAGCACGCCGTGCTTCGAACCCGGCGACCCGAGTTCAATTCCCACTCACGGCCAACACCAGCAATGATAATTATATGACTCGATCCTGGGCCTCCCCGAAGGTCGACTGGGCCTCCAATGAGTACCTGGTGCGGTGTAAACATCGCCGTTGGGGAGACAAAGGCGGGGTGTGGTGCTGGCACCCAGTTCGTGAACCGTGCCGGCCTTCATCGGTGCTCGCGAAAAGCACTTGCCCCAACAGTCTGTTAAAGGCTATAGAGGGGATCTGTCCTTGCAGGGGTGTCGTGATTTGGCGCACTGCACTATCAACCCGCAAAACGTAAGTTCGATTCCCGGGCCATGGCTGAAAGTGATGTGAACCAGTCCTGCTCTTCACCACTACACCAACCCACAAATGACCAGTGTGGTTAAGCACGGTCTAGCAACCCCCGCATGACCAACATGACCTGGAGAGACAAAGGTGGCATCATTCCGGCAAACACCACCCACTTCGTGTGGCGTGCGAGCCTTATGTGCTCTTAAAAAGCGCTTGCCCCCAATGCTCTGTATGGCTAGAGGGGGGATCTTCATCTCTGTCATGAGGACAAGTCCCAGTTTGATAGGTAATACAATTATGTACGCTTTCCCCACACAGGAAGGCAGCCCGACAGCACTCATAAATTTAAAACAAAGTGCCGCAGCAGCACTTTTGCTTTGTAAGTACAAGTCAAGCGGCTTTATTTTTCATTTTGTCGACATCATCATCCGTGGTTATTGTCCGCCTGGCGATGACGACAACGATGATGATGATGTTTTCGCTCCCCGGTGAAGCATTTGCTGTCAGTAGACAGTGCGTCTGCCCACCCTGCTAACACTCAAGCCACGTGTCAAACGATTACATCGTTGACATTAAAACGCATTCGATTATCAAATTCTTGACTTTTCAAAAGACCGATAGGTGATTCCGTAACGAACCAACAAATCTAAAATCGATTAGTAATAATAATAATTTAGATTTATAAGGCACCCTCAAATAATTCCCAAGCCTGGGCACCATGCAGAAAACAGCCCGGTGCTGACCCCAGGTGACCTATATTCATGAGATCGCCACACTTGGCATCATGGCATTCATTGAGTAAACTTGGGGACTTACCCGCCGCACTTTAACCCCAGTGCCATGAGGGCGGACTTCAGTCGATCCAGACCCAGGGAGGCCAACTCCTGTGACACAACAACACGCAGCAATCACGTGAGCACCGATTCCTTTACGCATAACAGGAAACAACCTTTGCGCAATGACTTTACCAGCACAGGCAATAATACTCTAGACAACTCGGAATGCCCTTTTCACCAGGCCTAGCGACGATTTAACGAACACATTTTGTTGAGCTCCTGCTCATAGCGGCGGTGGACAAGCACGAACAATTATTTAAAAAAAAAAACTCAAATTCATCGACACAATTGCCCTAATAGGAAAATATACGTGAAAGTTCAGACAACTGTCCTTCTTCATAGCAAATAGATCACATGCGCAAAATGTCGCAAATCAGAAGCGCCACGAATTGTCATCTTTTCTTATATACATTTTTCCTTTTATTGACAAACATGTCGAGCATCAATTATCAGTGATGTTTTACGTGAACGGCATGTTACGTCAATTTACTGAACTTTAGATAGTTTAGGATGTAGTGGCAACGTCCAAAACAGGCAGCCAAAATGCATGGAAACAACAGGAGAAAAATCCTGCACCAGTCTATCCGGCCGCCTCGTCCATCTCGCAATAGCTTTGGTCTGCGATGCCCACGTGGTGCAGTGGACGACCTCACCTCCCAGGAGGAGAAGGCGGAGAGGTCCAGGTGAGCTCCCGAGTGAGCGAGGGCGCTGCTCGTCTCTTTCTGCACCCAACAGAGTCACGTGTCGCCAGTTCAGCCACACGGGGTGTGGGGGATAGCAGGTGCCAGTTAGCGAGCATCTCTTAAGGCCGGGAATAGCACAACAGGGGGGGGGGGGGTGTGTGGTGTGGTTAAAAAGCACCGTGCACGTCAAACTTTGTCCACACGTTGCAAGCGTTTATGCATTAGTTCCGTCCGTTTGTCCGCAACGGGTGGACGCACTATAACTCGTGTAAAGAGACTGCGACAATTACCAAACTTTAGGTTGTTTTGCCATTAGGGACTGACCCATTGGGAAATTTGCCACATTGATCCAAGGATCGCCCAAAAGCTTTCGAAAAACACAAACCAAAATAAAAAAAAAAAGGAATATATTTGCCAATATGTAAAGATGTTGCATTGTCAGCTGCCCGCCGGATTCCATTCTGTATACTTTATTTGTTTATATTTATTTTTAGTGACTTGCTTACCTTTCCTATACTTTGTACTCCTATCATCTTTTTCTATAGTTTGTCGTGGTGGCTTTCTGACCCCTTATTGTACAGGACATCTGTGAAAAGATAGCTTCAAAGCTCGGATTATTCCAGGCTAAATAAAGATTCTTTATTCAGAAAGAGTCCAAGTTGGTGCCCGTAGTGAAGAGTGGCGGAGAGAGGGGGGAGCGCGATGGACGTACAGGCCAGCCAGGGAACGCTCCGATGTCCCACTTCCGCTCGAGATCCGTTTGGATCTTTCCGAAAAGTTCATTCTGGTCCAGAAGTGGCTTCACACGGTCCGTGTAGTCCTGCAGGTACTCGAGCACCATGTCCAGATACCTGCAGCCACGCAAATGGAGACACAGGCAGACACTCGACGGATCAAGTTTGGATTTCATTATTTAGGGTATTTGGAGTTTGTATTTTTAGGCCGAATTTGACGTTATTTATTTTGTATTCTACAATTTGCATCGATGACATTTTAGTCGCGGTCATTGTTTTCATGATTATAAATATTCATCACTGAATTTGTTCCTTTTGCATAACGTTTAAAACAGTAAAGTAATAATTTTAAGATTGTTACTTGTATACATATTTGAATAATTTAAGTAAAGCTCACGCTAAGCCACTTTTGGCAGGAAATGACCAATCATTAGGGCCCTCGTCTGTTTTTTACAATACATTTAAAAAAAATATCAAGTTCATTGAGCGCTTAAAAAATTGTTTTTGCTTTTATTCACGTAGAACCCAGAGTGAAGACAACTCACCTCTTGTACTCCGTGTTTTTCCGTTCACGAGGGACATCGAAGAGCTGGTCAAATGTCGACAGGTACGTGATGTAGTCGATTTTCTGTCAAAAACACAACACGAGAGAGGTGGAAACAATAGACTTTGGAAGCGCGCAGGATGTCGTCATTGCACAGCTCATGCTGGGAGCTTCTTCGGGATCTCAGGCTACCAGCAAGTGGCAACGTCGGACATCATGCCGAATAACAGACAGTATAACCTAAGCTATGAAAACTATTTTTTATTTTACCAGGTGAGGCCCACCGAGCTATATAACTCTTTTTCAGAAGCGACCTGGCCACAAATGATAGCTAAACGAAGTGGCTTATGGAAATTTATAGCAGCCATATAATATAAATAATGTTAACGCATCTCACAATCACAAGTTGGAAGGCGGCCAGGCGGTGAGCCAGCGCCACCAATTGTCCAAGATCTGCACTCCTCAATATATTAAGCTGTTAAACGCATGATTGGAAAACTGGAGGATTCGGAGAAAAATTCACGTGACCACGGACAGAACAAGCAGACTCCAAATATACAGCAGGCGTCAGGGTTGGGATCGAACCCACGACCTCCTGTATACTAGGCGAGGTAGTTAACATCTCGTCACCATGGCACCCCTGAAAACAGATCGAAGAGCTGTTATTTTTATAGTAAATAACAATTAACGGGTATTGACAACAGCGGTCGCGCCATACACAGTACGATCACGATTTACCCGTGGAAGCCTCACCGAGTATCAAGACCTGTTTTCAGAAAAAGTCGCAATACATTCGTATGATTAAATCTCGGCTTAAAGCTTTCGTCACCGCAAGGAATTCATCCTCTTTGGGTCTTTCGGTAAAGTCACGTAGATAACTTTACCGAAAGACCCAGAGTATTTGTATGATTGGCCAATTTCATTTCATTTGGGAGAAAAACGGTAAACCGGGAGAAAGTGTACACACTTGAGAGGTGAGTAACACACAAAGCATCACACAGATAAGAGTGAATACAATCAAATGCTGTGCTGCCATGTGCTGCCAGCCACCTCACAGCCCAGCGGCTTTTGAGAGTTTTACAAATCGTCGTGTGATCCACCAACCCTTGCCTCCAAAGCGCTGGATCGCAGGCGTGCACCACCGCCACGTGCCAGGCTCAACTCGAGCGTCCTCTCCGCTGCTAGCCTGGAGCACAACGAGTGACCGAATGAACCGACAACAAGGATATCTATCTCTCACCTCGGCTCCCTTGAGGTTGATGAATTTGAGATAGCAGTTGTGCAGGTCCAGATTCTTGCCATAGCCTTCCTCATCGGTGAACTCCGCCATGTCTGAAAAAGAAAAGTCAAGATCGTCAGGACTTAATTTCCACTGTTGTCAGTGGTTAGCGCACTGCGCTCAGAAGAGGGTAAGCCAAGTTTTAATTCCCGGCTATCACCGACATCAGTGACATTCTTGACCACATTCACCAAACCGCACTGACCAGCGTGGCGATGCGTGGCTAAACAACCCCCAAGACCAACGCAGATCGGGGAGGCCTTCATCCTGCAGAGGGCTTACAAAAGTGCTGGAATGATTAAATAATTTGTTGTATGCATACTGAACTTCTTGAGCACCGTACGTAAGCAACCGCGCGAATCAGAGAAATAATCTAATTTAACCGATGAATCGTTACACGAACGCCACACGTTTCGATTGCCGCGATGCAACGGGCTCGGCACGACTAAGCGCTGTGTTCACAGTCCGTGTTTTAGCGCTGCGTACTTTGAGCTTCGTCTGCGGGATTCTCGCGAGCCCTGGCCAGCTCGTCGAACTCCACCGACATCGGAATGTAGATCTGCAGAGGAACACAACAAAACACACACACAAGACAAAGATCCTTCTTATAACATTAACAGACCAGTGGGGCAAGTGATGTTAGCGAGCACTTATGAAGGCCGGGTACGGCACATGAGGGGGTAGGTGGCCAACACCAAACTTGGCCACCTTTGCTAATGTTTGCACACCACCTCAGATACTCATTTAAGGCTGATTCGAACTACAGGAGGCCCAAGACCAGTTTTAATATTCGTCAATGTCATCGATTGCGAGCGGGAATTGAACTCAGGTTGCCGGGTTCATGGCGCAATGCGCTAAACACCACACTACCGCCGCCCACACACAAAACACGAATGTCATACTTGAGTCTCATTAAGAGCAGGGAAGCACAAGCGACGGTGGACGGGGTACGGTCAAACACCAATCGGGGTACGCGAATCCTCGCTGAACAAAGCAGCGGCTGGCTGTGTGCGCGCGAACACGATACCGCGTCCTCGTTTGCGCGTGGACATAACGTGGCTATCGTGGATGCGGCATCACGGTCGGCAACGCACGCGACGAGGGTGACGGAACCGTACCTCGTTGGGGTGCTTCTTGTGGAATTCCTTGATTTGCCGCAGACGGTTGTAAAATTCTCCAAACTCGTTGGGTCCCGAGAGGGCGTTCACCTCCTCCTTGCGGAGCCTGCCGATGTTAAACGCACGGCATTCAAGCTAGACCGTGTGGCGTGCTGCGGTAAACCGCCGCTCGTCGGCTGCCGGCGCCTAAGGTCCAAGTAACAAGTGTTTTTTTTTTTTAAATCATGCACATGTGTGGTTTTTACGTATTGCTGTCCAACACGCGCTCGCCTTTTGGAAGTATGGCGTGTCCTCACTTTACGCGTGTTTACACTATAACGCGTTTTCGCGATAACGCGGTTCTTCTATTCGGGAACGCGCACCGTCTTAACACAATTTCTAAACGGTCGACGACGAACTACTTTTTTTGAGTGGCGCGGCTGAGCAGTAGGCTACAGTTAGCGAAATTTAATTTGTCCCACCATCTTATTGCATGCCCGTACATCGTATCTCACCAAATGTTTTCGTTACATTATTTGTGGAGAAATTGCTTTCGCTTCACGCATTTTTCGCTCAACGCAGCACTTTTAAGGAGTGCATCTACCGCGTTATACGGGGACTTACTGTATTTAATTATTGGTGTGGAATCACATTGGGAAAAAGTCGAGTTTGTTCTGCTTTATCTCCAAGTATTGGCAACCTTTGCGCATTCGTATTGGATCTCCTTTACGAGAGTTATAGTGCCCCTACCCCCTTCGTTAAGTCAGAAATTATGCAGAAATAGTTTCCATCTGAGTTGGAAAGTGCTAAAAAAAAATCTCATCCAAGGGTCTGTTTCAATTTGGTGTAAAAACCATGGACCAGCAAATGAGTTTATTGCAGTCATCAGAATGATAAAGTCAATATTTATTTTATTTCCCCTCCCAACTTTCTGTCCAATGTTGTGGAACCTTTTCTTACTCAGGAGCCAAAATAAGACCTCCAAAAACCTTCAGAGGTCTTTTTAGAAACACAGTGCTTCCAGGTCAAAAATGTTCCCCACTCTAGTCCCTGATAAGTGCCACTAAAAACTGAACCTATTTGTGTGGCGATTTGAGTGGAATTAACTTGCAGGCCTGTGAGGTTTTCCCCAGATACATTGGTTTTTCCCAGATGCCTAACACTCCTGAATTAAATTGGTCAAACATTACAGTGTAGGACCCTCCTGAAAAGGGTTTTGAGACTCAGGCATTCCAGTGTAATGTCAATACAATACTTGAATTAACTCACCCATCTTTATCTTCGTAGAGATCTCGCAAGGTGCGACTGACCTCCATGTACCTCTGTAACACAAAACGTTCATGCCATCCATAGGATCATTTCAACAATCATGATAAAATACACAGCCTTCAGATTCTTCAGAGAAAAGTCAAATGTGTTCTAGTCCATCAGCATCATTGTCTTCCACCACAATTTGTTTATTCAGCAAACGCTTAAGAAGTTTTCACTTTCTGGGTCTCGTCAGCTGCTGGGCTGCCCGAAGTTATTGGAAAGAGCACTCCCGTCATCACAATCTGGCCCTGTATGTGAAACATCATTATGCAATGTTGTGGAAGAACCCTTTTGTCAATACACTGCTGGATGAATGAGTTAGGACTGTGCTAAATGAACTGTGAAATATGACTGCAAGGGAAGGTTTTCATCCAGCAGTGGAAAGATGAAGGCTGATGACGATGACTTTTTTTATTTTATCAAGTAAAGACCAACTGAGCTATACAGCTCTTTTTCAGTGGCGACCTGGCCACAAATGATAGCTGAATTGAGTGGCTTATCGTGCGGAAACTTTATCGCAGCCAAATACTCTAAGCGCATGTTTCTAAACGTGGCGGGAAAACCGGAGGACCCGGAGAAAAATCCACGCGACCACGGGGAGAAAGACACCACCAACTCTAAATGTAGAACAGGCGTCAGGGTCGGGATCGAACCCAAGACCTACTTGTAGTAAACATCTCGCCACCGATATGACAAATATCCAATCAAATGACGTGAATGTTTAAGGCACGGTAACAACACTTACATCCAGCAGCACTCTTAGTCGGTGGTCGGAATTGATTTGCTCCCGCGTCTGAGGACACAGACACACACACTCAAAAATCCATCCACGACGCAGACTCATCAGCAGCAACCCTTACTTCTTCATATACTGCCCAGCCAAAGGCACGGCCGAGGAGTCTTGCAGGCTGTGGGCGGGGGGGGTTGGACAGACTCGTGGCCATGCAAGCAATACAAAAACAATGTGAGCGAATCAAGCGTCTGAACGGAACATCTGAATAAAACGACGTGGGATGGTGGAGCACGTCTACACCTTAACATTTGTGTGGATCACTCAAAAAACACTCCTTTCGAGGTGCCATTATACCCTGGCTTGCCAGGAGAAGGCAGGTGTGGACTAATCTCCATCTGGCCTATCTGTACAGAACAGTGTGGTTGCCCTCCTGTGGCCATTCGTGGGCTTTCCCCAGTGTCCTCTGCATTCCGCCCCACACCGATAAGCTCTCATTAATTGGCTGAAAATATCTTAACAGCTCGAGGACCATGGAGCTTTGGGCGAATTTTGATGTCGGCTCACCCAATTGTCCGCGGCTCGCTCGCGAGAGTGAATGGAAACGGGACGCGTTACAATAAGTCGTATTACAAAACTATTCCAAGACCGTCGTGAGAATTTTGTTTTATTGGTTTATTTTTATTATTTTATTTACATGGTTGAGCAATGAGGTGGGTGGGTTTAAGGGTTGTTAAACGATGACCAGTAAACCGGGAATCGTTCCGGAAAAAGAATGCCATTGTGTCAAGCAACAACAGCGCACGAAATGTTGCTTCTTCAAATCAACTTAAAGAGGGGTGAGCGGGGTGGAGCGGTGGCGCAGTGGTTAGCGCACGGCGCGATGAAACCTGGGAACCCGAGTTACAAAATTCCGAGCCCCGGCTTACATCAGTCGCGAGTACTGTCCGAACCGGTTCCGTTTGAACCGTTCACCAATTGAGGTGAGGTGAGGGGGGGGGGGTGAAGTATGATCGATCAATCCCCACGACAGACACGGCGCGGGGAAGGGCCTTGCATGGAGGCAGTCGAGCGTGACAAAAAACGTCTTACCGACGCCTTCTTGAGCAGCTGCTCCTTCGCCATAGTCTCCATGAGGCGCTCTCGCTCCTCGTGGTAGCGCCGCTGCTGATCCAGGATCGTGTCCATGGTGGCTCGGGTTCGGCGTGGGGTGGGTGGTGGTGGTGGAGAAGCGCGCGCGTGGAAGGAAAACGCCGAGGATCTGGCCGACTTGGTGAAGGGGGGGGGAAATGTTGGCGGGCAACAACGGACGGTATCGCAACAAGCCGAGGGGAGCGCGCCAGACAACGAAGAGGAGAGAGGAAAGAGGGGATGGGGAGACGTGGAAGCTGCTACGGCGAGGGCAGAGAGAGAGAGAGAGGAGTGGAAGAACGCCGTGGGATCGGCTAGGCGAAGCCACACGGCTGTAGGCCCTCACACGGCGGGGGTGGTGGGGGGGGTGGGTGTCCTCCTCAAACTTTTCAAATCACCAAACGCCCCGAGAGCATGGGCGCCATCACGCCGTCGACGATCGGCTCGCAGGAACGCTGCCCTCGGGGCGTTTAGCGAATTCGTTTTGTGTCGTTCTCAAAACCGCTTGGCCCCCCCCCCCCGCCGCGTGCCCCCGGATGACGTCACCGAACTTGAGGGACCGCCGCCACATTGCGTAGGGATAATAACTTACTAATAATTATTAGTAATAATAACTAACGATTAGTAATAGTTAATTTTATATAGCGGCTTGTATTACTTTCAATTTATTATTCCAAATTTTCATTTTATTTTATGATTTTTATTTTCTATCTACGTGACTTTATCGAAAGAACCAAGAAAATTAATATATGAACGCATTTAAAAAAATATAATTTCTTAAATTAACAAAAAAATGTAAGTTAGCAGAATCTTTATACTGGAGGAATCCGATGAGCTGTAAAGCTCTTTTGTCACACGTGTCCCAGGTTAGGGGGGCACGGAGTCAGAACGTAGAAACAACGTCCAATACAACAACACGATCGGTGTCCAAAGTATGGGAACGGTAAACAAATCAGTTACAAAAAAATCGAAATTACAAATAAAACTAAAATATGTGTTTTATCTTACTAGTTAAGGCCCACTGAGCTTCATTAGATTGCTTTATTTTTTCAAAAGCGACCTGGCCACAAATTGAAACGCAAGATAAGATGCTGGCATCTTATCTTGCTGAAGGATTACTGTTGCACATGAACTTGACCCAAACAGTGACCACCGTAGAAAGTAAGAAAAAGGGATAATACTGTGTAGGAACCTCCTGGTTACACCACCAGCCCACAGGGGATTATTGTGTCCGTCCGTCCGTCGTGCATCCAAACATGGGAGGGGTGGGGCTGGGTGGGGAGGGGAGGGTGGGGAGGGGCTGGGTGGGGAGGGTGGGGAGGGGCTGGGTGGGGAGGGAGGGGCTGGGTGGGGAGGGTGGGGAGGGGCTGGGTGGGGAGGGGAGGGTGGGGAGGGGCTGGGTGGAGAGGGGAGGGTGGGGCTGGGTGGGGGAGGGGCTGGGTGGGCTGGGGCTGGGTGGGGAGGGGCTGGGTGGGGAGGGGCTGGTCACCCCGTGGTGCCCTTATACAACTCAACGTGTAACCTACTCACTCCGGCTTGTGCCCGCCCTCATAGTCGGGCATATTGTCCTGAACACACCACGTGGTGCCGCCATTGACCCTGGCCATTGACCGAGCAACCCGACGTTCCTACCAGCTCCCTCCGCAGGAATGTGTTAATCAACGTTTTTGGGTTAGATCGCGTAAGTAGGAATGTGTCGTAACCCTCCAGCACCCGACACGTGCAAACATTAATAAGGGATTTGTCACGAGATTTACAATTTGAGTTGTACGACGTTTCGCTGGCAATTACATCCAGCATCGGACTGTTCTGCCGTAATTATCAGCGAAACGTCGTACTCCTCAAATTGTAAATGTTTGTGGATTTACTCTCCAACACACCGGCTATTGCTGTACTAGTAACGAATTGGCATATTCTGTTGACGTGAAAAAGCTTACTGATTGTCTGTGTCGGGTGGTGGCGTGTTTAACATTTATATATTAACGCGATCTAACCCAAACAAACTTGTAATTATGGCAGTTTATTGTTATTAGATGATCGCCTTTATCGATTTGGCCAGCAATTTTACACGGAAGAACCGTCGTGTATTAGCATATGAATAGTTACCTATTGGTAGCTAACGAATAACAGATAAAACCTTTACGGAAACAAAAATACGAAATAATGTCATTGGTATGAAAAATAAAATAATAAAAGTTTGCTGACACGTTACATTAAGGTCAAACCTCGTTGAAGTTAAGTCAGTGGAAATATAATCAACATCGACCACTCAGTAAATTAATTACAGTTAGCACAAACCAGTCCCGATTAGAGACTCTTAGGAAATGTATGGGGACTTTTTAAAATTATTTAATGTACAACCCAAAAAGAATGAGAAATCAACTCCCCTTACCCAACATGGCCACGCTGGCTTCCGAGTGGGGGAGTGTTGCGCGTGGGTCGTGGTTGATGGTTGTGGTTGGTGGTGGTTGGTTGGTTCGTGGTGGTGGTAAGGAAGAAGCCTGTTTCGGTGAAAAGATTTCAGATAAATGTTGCCACAAGTAAAGTGATTCTCGTTCCCCCTCCAAGCATTCGCGTGCGGACAATGGCGCTCGAGTCTCGGCTGGCACAGGACACGACTCAGCGGGAGCCGGATAAACCCATTGACAGAGAGAAGGTTAGCGCGCTACACACGTGTGTGTGTGTGTGACACACACACACACACACGTGTGTGTAATGTGTCTTACACACGTGTGTAATGTGTCTTACACACGTGTGTAATGTGTGTCACACACACATTACACACACGTGTGTAATGTGTGTGTGTGCGTGTCGACCCGTGGCACCTGGGTCTGCCCCGTGACCTCCTGCCAGCGGGCGTTCGACACACACGTGTGTAATGTGTCACACACACACGTGTGTAATGTGTGACACAGACGTGTGTAATGTGTGTCACACACACACGTGTGTAATGTGTGACACAGACGTGTGTAATGTGTGTCACACACGTGTGTGTGTAATGTGTGTCACACATTACACACACACGTGTGTAATGTGTGTCACACATGTGTGTGTAATGTGTGACACACATTACACACACACGTGTGTGTAATGTGTGTGTGAGTCGACCCGTGGCACCTGGGTCTGCCCCGTGACCTCTTGCCAGCGGGCATTCGACACTTCACGTGGCCTCAAGGTGCACATAGCCTGGCACAAGCGTCGTGGTGACGTCACCGCCACTTAGTGGCGAATGGCGCTTGTTGTTATTGTTGTTGTCTATGTGTCTGGCACGGGCTAGAGAAGAGGTGGAACGATGTCCGGTACGAGAGAGGATGTGGCAGTGAATATCTGAACCGGTCCTGAGTCTCCCCTAGGTCGACTTACCCTTAAAATTACTACCTGGTGCGGTGTATGAACATCAGCATCGGGGTGACAAAGGCGGCCGGGCGTGGTTCTTGCAACCCACTCTCGTGTACGGGGCCGTCCATAAATGACGTCACGCACCTGGGGGGGGGGCAGACATTTGTGACGATGTGTGACGAGAGGGGGGGGGGGTTTGAGAAATGTGACGTCACATCAAAATGCGCAACTTTAAATTAATATAGACAACACGTTCTACTTAATTAAATCGACGTTTTAATAAATGTTTTCTCCTACAACATCAGAGTGCAGCGCCACATTAAATACGCACTACAATGACAATAGTTTAAAGCGATTTAAAGCATGTTTTATATATATTTTTTTGGGGGGGGGGCAGAGCTTTGTGACGTCATATTTGAGGGGGGGTCTGACTTTTTGTGACGCCGTGTGACGAGAGAGGGGGGGGGGTCAAAAATCGTCCAAAAGCGCGTGACGTCATATATGACGGCCCCCTACCGTGCGGGACCTTCATTATGTTGCTCCCATCAGCAACTTTCCCCAGCAGCCTGTTTTAAGACTTCGCGTGGGAATCTTTAGCGCGTGCGTGGGAATCTTTAGCGCGTGTGTGTGTGTCTTGTGTGTTGGTGACCAGATTTACTATAACGCAATTGACGTCTGTGAATGCACAGCAACGCCTCGGGTTTGAAATGATCAGTGAAGTATTCGACTCACCGGCCACAGGTTATCGTGGGACTAGGCACAGAGGAGAATGCAAAAGGAAAAACTTGTCAAGGACTGAGTGGTGCTTGATTGGATGGCTGACCAGCGTGTGCATACCAGGTTCTGTAGGCCACCCCGAAGGTTACGTTGTGGGCAGTGCAACGTTTATGCTCCCACACGTCTACATGCGCATGCATGTTGAACTTCTTTTGCACCGTACGTAGCCAACCGCGCTAATCCATGGCCTCCACCTTCACTCACCCGCAGTGGCCAGCCGTGGTGAAGTATGGGTTCAGGTAACCCCATGGCGTGGGGCAAGCCCTCATCCAGCAGTGGACAAAACAGCGTCGTATGATAGGCGGGTGAGGTCAACATTTGTTGCCACGTGGAGATAGACTTACCCCTGTCACCGGAATGTGGGCTTTCCACGGCTGGCTGAGGGCTGTAAAACGGGAGATGAGCAACCAAATCCCGCAGTGCTCATGTGACACTTAATAATGCCGATCGCTTTCACAAACATCGCACGTGTTTGTATTTTCACGAGTGAAATCCCGATTTGTCGCTCTTGACGTTGCACCCTCCCCCCCCCCCCGCGTCAGACGTGCCCCCTTCTGCTGCGCGTGTTCACGAGTAAAACCGGGCATCACCACCGCACGGACGAGTTCGCCCGCGGCAGCGCTCCCACCTCCGAGCTGCAGATTTACACGTGGTGAGCGACCGCCCGTCCGCCAGCAAACACTCACAACCGCTCGCCCGCGAAACGCTCGGTCGCTCGCCCGCCTGTGTCTCGCCGGTAGTATTTAAGAACACGCAATGGTGTGCTCCCAAACAACAGCAGCACCGGGAAGGCCCCAACTCCCATCGTAAAAGGAATTTACGCAAGTAGTCGGGCACACAGATCATGTCCGCATGCTAAGACAAATATGTCTCGGAAAGCCTTAAACAGACTGCTCGGTCAAGGGCTGTTAGCGAGCACCTCTGAAGCCTGGAACGGCACACGAGGGGGTGGGTGGCCAACACCACGCCTGGCTGCCCTTGTCTCCCAAATGCTGATGTTTACACACTGCACCAGGTACTCGTTTGAAACTGAGTCGACCTAGGAGAGGCCCAGGACTGGTTCAGATATTCATAACCGTTCCTGGCTGAGAGCGGGAATCGAACTCTGGTCGCCGGGTTTCATAGCACAGCTCGATAACCACTGCTCGTCTACCCATGCAACCACTTTCACACACACATCCATCCACCAAGCCACTCGCCCATGCCCACCACATGCCACGTGTGTGTGTGTGCGCGTGCAGGTTGGATGCCACGCTGAAGGAGCTGACCAGCCTGGTGAAGGAGGTGAACCCAGAGGCGCGCAGGAAGGGAACTCACTTTAGCTTTGCCATTGTCTACCCAGACCCCAAGCGGCCCGTGTACAGGTGACGAACCCAGCTCTTTGCCGTCGATTGTGACGAATGCGGGGGATGTCCTCTATCGCGAAGCGTTCGGTCGCCCAAAGGGATCGTGAGGTGGCCAGGTAGCTCAGAGCCTGGGTGAGAATCCAGGTAGCCACCTGTGAGCAAACTGAGTTCTCAGCGCTATAAAGTTGATAGTCTCAGCCCAGCCATCAATGACTACACACACACAAAAACCCCATCACATTCAATTTGGTTTTGCACTAAAATTGGATAAATCCTAGCTGCGGCAATAACATCAATGTCTCAGCGGCGGGGCGAGTGGGAAAGTGCTGCACCCCTACAGTCTCGACCGAGGGCCACTTGAAGGAAAATCGAGAGGCAGTTCTGCAGTATCCACTTCTACTGGCCGTTCCGTAACCCCGAAAAGGGTTTCCGACAGATCCAAATGGATTCTTGCGTTTCATGGCACGATGGAGATGGCACAATCGGGATAAAACTGGTGAAAGAGACGGAAAAAACATGGGTCCATGAATCTAGCATTGTGCCTCTCTTCTTCAGCCTATGTATCGAACACAGCGGGGTGGCCGGGTAGTCCAGGTGGCGATCGCATTGCAAGTAATGAGTGACCCCGTCAGTAGGCTGATCGATGGTCACGATTTTTGGGTCACAGCTCGATTCAAGAATTTAAAAAAATATATATCTGGTGGTCTCATCCTTACCGTCTCTTTTGTATTATTTCTGGTATCTTACGTAAAATGTGTACAATTGCGTTCCTTCTGTCTGTCTTAAGTCTAACATTACCGTATCAAAACGCTCGTGAATTGGTGAATGAGTAATTTTTTGTGAATGGGTGCAAAATATGATTCGTGAAACAGCCCCTCGCAATGTCAGCACAAATAGGCGGGAGCATCTCTCTCTATCCCGACTTATATCAACAATCCACATTTGCGTTTTCCATAAAACAGTTTTAGAGAACGGCCCGCAGAAGCAGATATCACAGAGCTACCTTTGAGATCCCTTTGAATGGTAGCGAGCAGCACTTTTCCGCTCAACCCCGCCGCTGCATTGCAGAAGCCACAACGCTGTCCGATCTTGTCCTTCCCCTCGCCACCACCACCACCACCTCCCCCTGTCGCTCACAGGGTACGGGAGATCGGCAGCACGATCGCCGGCCGCAAGGGTGCGGACGACATCATGACGCTGCAGTCGCAGAAGTTTCAAATCGGCGACTTTCTGGACATTGCCATCACGCTCGCGGGACGCGGGCCCCCCCTGCCCAGTCGCATGCTGCGTCCGTATTAGAGCGTCTCGCGGTGAAACTTCACCGCTGGGGGCTCGGCGTGAATCAACATGTTTTTTTATTATTACTTTCAACTCTCCGTTGTCGGTGACGCGGCCGAGTGGCGGCGCGTTTTGCCGCTCGTCGCAAAAGGTTTGCGGTTCGAGGCCAGCGGCCGCCCTGGTTAATACCGTGCGGGTGTCCTGACGGTGGATGCCGCGCGCCGTCCGCTTGGCAGTTGACGGTAAAAATACGGTGACGGTATTCGAACAGCGAGTAGGCCGTGCGTGCGTGTCGGCGTCACGGTCCAAAAATGTGACAAGTTACCGACAGTTCGCTTGAGTAAAACCGGGCAGCCACCATTGCCCTGGACTTGACTAAGGCCTTGTGCTGTAGGAATGGAGTGAACACCGAATGTTCTCGTGATTTATCCGTGGTAACGCAAGTGGGGGAGTGTCCCTGAAAGAAAAAAATACGCGGACATTGCGAAACGCTCCGGAACAAGAAGAACTGGATTGGACGCGTTCTACGAGGGGCACGGTTTGATGACGAAGGACGTTACAGAAGGCCCAACGGAAGAGTTGTGGGATGCTGTTCGCATGAATGACGCTATATACAATGAAAGTATTATTCTCAAGACAGAGCGAGAGGAAGGCCCAGGATCGGTATATTGGAGGTGCTGAAGCGGAGGGGGGACACGTTTGTGTTAACGGCGAGAAGGGCAGCGGACGGAGAACGATGGAGGAGATGGCAGCCGAGGAGCCCGTTAAGGCAGAGCGCCGCAGCTGAACCGTGGATCGCGGGTGACGATGACTTTTGATCCTGGCTGCACACAAAGTCAGCGGTTGCGGAGTCGCAAGTGAACACCTGGCCAGGGTTTGCAAACCGGAGCGCACGCTCAAGGCGCGACTGTGGTAATTCTCCGCGAGCGCGGATGGTGATGTTGCCGTTGGTTTGCTCTTTGGCAAGCGCGTAATTCATTCGCGAGTGGAATTCATTCGAATTTGGCACACTTGGCACGAGGGCACTTGCCCATTTTGGGAGTAACGTCACGTGACCTTTAACGCTGTCTGTGACGCTGGATACACACACACACACCTTTCTTATACATGCGTCTGCAGCGACACCCAGTAGGGGTGTAACGAGTTGCCCCGACGTGCGATGCAATGCACGGTCACGATTCGGGAACATGATCGGGTCACAAGTCGACACGAGTGTTACGCGCTCGTAGGATCTTAAGGGGTGTGCGAATCTAGAAAATGTACAATGGCGTGATTTGTCCAAAACACATTCAAAAACTAATATTCAACTTTGTCAATCCACCGTCGGATGAAGGCCCTCCCCACACTATGTCGGATATGAGAGTCGTTTGACCATACTTCACCACGCTGGTTGGTGCGAGTTGGTGAAGGTGGGGCGAACCTAGGACTGGTTCAGTTATTACTCGCCACGGACGTTAGACGTGGCTGGCAATCGCACTCGAATCACTGGGTTCATCGAGCAACATACTTGATCAACGTATTTGAAATAATTGGCCTTTAACATGCCTATTAGATTTTTCGGTAAAGTCACGTTGAAGAGAAACAACAAAATAACAAAATATATATAAAACAATAAAAAATTCTATATATTTTGTTATTTTGTTGTTTCTCTTCAACGTGACTTTACCGAAAAAACTAAGAATATGAATTACTGCAGTCACGAAAGCTTTAAATCAAAATGCCTATTAGAGTTCATACATTGGTTATGTTAAGGTGCGGATAGCTTTTAAGTCGGTACTGTACCGGGTTTTGGAGTGGTTGTGCAGCGGTTAGCGCACTGCACTTTGAACCCGACCGACCTAAATTTCATCGCCGGCCCAAGTGGTTAAGTATGGTCAAACGATCTTCACGACCTACCACGACTGTAAATAATTGTTATTACAAAGGCTTTAATTACACGTTACTTTATTATCGTTTGTAGGAGTTCAGCACAGGTGGTACATGTAAATGTTTTGCTGTTCGCGGAAACGCGCAAATGTGTGTCGGTGGATTCTTGATTGTCATTGTGTAAAAATTTTGTTTTAATTACGGAAAAGTCGCGTTCGCTGGGTCAGCGCGCCGGCTGCACAGCGCGCCTGGATGCATCTGGGTCAGCGGGCTTCGTAAACCATAAACCACGTGCGTCCTTTGCTCTCTTGACGTCAGTCTTCGACTCATAAAGCAATGCACAAGAGGCGTTATGCACATGCACGTAGAGCAAGGCGACCGCCGTGAAACTCGGTACACTTTTATTGCCGATGACGAAACGGTTGCACGCTGAAGTAGCATTGCGTGAAGCAAGTTTTGGTGCTGCGAGTTAATAATTTTTCTATAAATAAAACATAACAGGCGTCTCCTTAGTACTATGAAACAAAAAACAAAGCCTAAACAGCGACGAACTCGGAGGTCTGATGGGCGTATTTGGGGTTTGAAATCAGCGTGTCGTTTGGCATGATGTCCGACGTTACGCACCACGTGCTAGGTGAGCGTGGTACAGCCTGAAAGCACACCGCGGAGAGCTGTGCAGCCACGCGGCCGCGACAAGCGACGCGGTCGCAGTGAGCTTGTCCGCTTTTTGGAACGGTTTTGACTTAATTGAGTGTCTTCAGCAAAAGTGAAAGCAGTTGAATAAAAACGCCGGTGTGTGTAGTGCTGATGCTGTGCGATGGATAAGCTGCCGAGAAATATAATGATAAAAAAAATATATTTTAAGGTGCAGCAATATATAGCACGACTTAAAAAAAACACTCTTAATTCCCATACTTTATTTGTATGCGATGTTGCAGTTTGACAGTTTGGCACAGGTGGGTTCATTTATGTTGTTGTAAATGCACGTTGCTCCAAAGTTTAATAAATTGGTTTTACAGGATGTGTATGTGGCAGATGATTCACTAATTGCATAAGTAAATGTCAATGTGCACGCTGTGTGACAGGTCAGCCACCGTTATAGCGCACGTGGCCAGTGTTGATTTCCGAAGGCTCTCAGAAACTGATGTTAATGTTAGGGTTTTGCACGTGTAATATTAAGGGCAGGGAAAATCTATGATTACAGCTGTTGCGGCGGTAATTATAACGTCACGCGTGTATACAGGAAACGCCTCGTTGAGTCCCAAGATTTTTATTTCCTGCATGAAGGATGACGAGGTGGCCCGTGTTTGTGTATGTTGAACTTCGTTCGCACCGTACAGAGCCAACCGTGCTGTCTCTTCTGATTTGCATTTTATACAATATCAGTGTAGCTGTTCCACCCTTACGAGTTTACTGATTTCTATATATGATTGAGGATAAGGCCTTCTTGAGAGCTTAGAATGACTGCATCAATATTTCTACTGAATCAAGTTTTTATATATAGTCAATACAAGCCAGGCATCATGGTATCTGATGTTCATTTGTCTTTTGTAGAATCGGGGGAAGCACAACAAACTAATCACACAAAAACTGAATTTTCAATTTGGATTATTTAAAAGTGGTATAACTGCCAGTGTCTTCCTAATATCGGAAGGAAGGGCGTTCCAGACGGCTGCAAAAGCGCATCCGAAAGCGCTCGATGCAGTGGCCCGTCTTTGTTTCGATGGCCAGCCAAAAAGCCGCCGCCGCTGCTGCTGCGAGCAAGACCCATCGGTAGCGAGCTGCACCTCGCCGTCGCAGAGGCTCGCCGTTCGAACCCAGCGGTTATAGCCGCCGGAGCCGTAACGACCGCGGCTGAACACGCGCCGTCCACTCCGCTGCTCGCGTTGGGCCCGTTCGAGATGGCCCCGACGTCGTTGGCAAGGCCAGGCCATCGGGTGCCGGCGGCGTCGGGGGCCCGACATTTTTGGCAAGTTTCGGAAAATTCCCAGGGAATAGCGCTGTAATAGGATTCCACGCACGGCAGCGATCACCGCCGCTGCTGCTGCCAGATTCGTGCACCCCAGGTCACGCTTGCAAATGAGACTCGAAACTAAACGATGAAACAATTTTTGGTTATATAATCCAGGTGAGGCCCACTTGAGTTATACGGTATCGTTCTTTTTTTTATAGAAGCGGCCTGGCCACGAATGATAGCCAAATGAAGTGGCTTATGTGGACATGTATAAGACTCATCCTGGTTTTTTTTTTATAATTATGTTAATTGCAGTTTAACACGTAGCCTTTCGCGACCATCCATAATAGAGGAGGTTTTCTTGGGGGATTGGATCGCGTAAATATTAATGTGTCGTTAAACCCGCCACCACCCGACAGCCAATTACTAATGGTTCTCACGTAAACAAAACATGCCAATTCATTATTAGTTCAGCACACCGGTGTGTTTGAGAGTAAAACCCACAACATTTACGATTCGAGTATCGTGACGTTTCGCCGGTAATTGCAACAACCAGCATCATCAGGCGGACAGCCAGATATAGAGGAGGGAGAGATGTGATGTCGTCACTTGTGAGCCAATCAGGTGCGAAGACCAGAGGGTGGGGGAGAGGGGGGTTAATGTGTGCATATAAATTACAATGGGTATCCATTACCGAAGCCAGTTGCAAATACTGGCGAAACGTCGTACTCGGATTGTAAATGTTGTGGCTTGGCTCTCCAACACACCGGTGTGCTGTACGAGTGACGAATTGGCCACGTTCTGTTTATGTGACAACCCTTACTAGTTGGCTGTGTCGGGTAGTGGTGGGTTTTAACGACACATTTATTTACGTGATCTAACCCTAAAAAAACTATTATGGTATCCATTACCGGTTGGGTTATCATACATTATGCATGCACACAATGGGTGCAAGAAATCGCAATACCTGTTCTTGTCTCCTCATAGTAAATCACCATCAACGTATGATGATGACCTATATAGGCATGCAGCTATCAGAACGGTTACAATTATCTTTACTTCTCTAAATTTCAATAGATTTTCGAATTAGTTTTGGCCAGCAGTGACTAGTTTCACACACAGCTTCAACATGATCAAAATCAATTGAGTGTCCCTTGTTGGCACGCGTGTTCTGCCACTGCCGACAGTTGTGTACGGGAATATTTAATACTCCTTTGGTGTTCTTTTAGTCGTATGCTGATCATTCGTCCCGTCTGACCCATCTTAACAGTCGCAGCAGAGGACACGCGTGCATGCCGGTCGCGTTGGTAGATCTGGAGATCGCGCCTTCTCTGGGTTGGCTTCACTCCCTTACCGGAGCTTACTGAGGTATCGAGCAGCGGTTCTTAACCTTGACTTGCAGCCTTGCACCCCTTTGGTCCTCAATCGTTAAACAAATGTATAATGTTAACAAATACGCAGAGGGTTTGACGAAACAAAGTATGTGTTGTTCTTACGTGCCCCGTGCTAACTTTCCGTTTCCATGATTTATCTACGAAAAAAATCTGGCCGTGTCTCGCACCCCCCAGAAAGGGCATCTCGCACCCCCAGTGGATGCGTGCACCCCAGATTAAGGACCACTGGTATAAAGGGTTAATTCGATAACCACAAGGCTCATCCTGGTTTCCCAAGTTCTTCCCGGGTTCAACAACATCAAATTACAACGTTAAGTCCCTGGCGTCCGCGCGTTTCTCTTCCACGTCTCTTCCGAGCATGCGTCTCGCCGTGCCCTCTTTGCGCACTTTTCATCTTCTGTTCCATCTTTCCTGTTGCCAGTGTCCGTGCCTCTGATCCACACGTCCCCAATTGATTCAAGCGAGCCTGACACTGCTGATGAGCCACTGGATATCGAAAACCGGCCCAGAGTGTTGCTTGTCCAGAATCAATGCTGGTTGAAAGGGTGTGAGGCTGATGGGATGTGTTCTTTTTACGTGGAGAGACAGGGTTGTGAAGGAGACAAAGTGTTCACTCATCTCCTGTGTCCACTCACAGGTTGGTGAGAGCGTAGTGATTCTGGATCACCAAGGGACCGGCTCCATGTTCTCCCGTTCCAGGGGGTGACCATCTCCCCACCTCCGCAACACCTCCTCCCGTGACCTCAGCTCTTCTTCTGTCAACAAACTCCAGTGGAGGAGAGTCTTGCCATCTCACCCCGCCGTGAACTTTGGGGGAGCTCTGACCTTCCATTCGCGGAGCCCTGATATTCCTTTCCACGATTGGCCACATGGCCTCGGCCCGTTTATCAACAAACTCCAGTGGCGGAGAGTCTTCCCAACTCACCCCACCGTGAACTTTGGGCGAGCTCTGGTCTTCCTGTCGCGGAGCCCTGACCGTCTTTTCCACGATAGGCCCCGTGGCCTCGGCCCATTTGTCAACGAACGCCAGCGGAGGGGGTGCCACCCAACTCATGCCCGTGTGGACCTCGGGAGTCCCGGTCCCCGCGGACTCCACCCCACGCGGCGGCCCATCCCGGCGCGGGCGAAGGCGGCGTGGCGGCCCGGCACGTCGCCGCTTCTCGGGGCACGACAGGGCCATCATTACGCCGGCGGCCATGGTGAGGATGGCGGCGGCGTAGCCCAGGTAGATGGCGGCGCCGAGTTCGTACTTGACGGGACTCGGGTACCACGGGTCGTAGAACTGGCGCACGGTGTTGTGGGTGTTCCACGCGACAGGCACGAGCGTGCAGAGGGCGGAGACGATGAGGCAGAGGCCGCCCGACACGGCCACCAGCGACTTGCTGCGGCGGGAGGATGGGCCCAGCAGCAGGGTGCACTTCATGCCCACCGTGGCCGCGCCGATGCCCGCCGCCGTGAGCACGCACGAGATGACCATCATGGCCTGCGCGGCCTGGCACGTGGCGGAACGACGCATGCGTCGGACGGAGATGGTGGAGAGATGGGATGGGGGGGGGGATAATCAGAATCGGAAGTTCATTTCCCGTAAAGCCCATTGAGCAGTGGCGTAGTAGCTACATTAGCATTGGCGTAGTAACAATAGCAGCAATTATATTACACTGTGTAACACATTTTTTTTGTTCCTGGGTAGTAAGTGTTATTTCCTAATTGCTTATGCCTCAAAAAGTACAGAAAATGGCTGTTATTCCCCACAAACTTTGCTTTTGTGACCAGCATAGTGATATTAAATAATTTACCTATTTTCCAGCACATTCCAGATAGAATCAGAGCTGAGTAAACTTGGAATAACTTCTCGAACATTCTAGAACTTTTCAGTAATATAAATAGTAGTATAAATACGGGGGCCTTTAGCCCACCAGTTCAGTTTAGTTCCAGCTGCCTAAGTGGCTACATATCTGCATTTTTCTGAGGTGGCATTAAGAGGCTGAAAGCATCCGGCAGACGCGTTTTGCGATGTCTGCGGCCAATTTATCAAGACAAGAGCGAGAAAGTCACTCTGTGGAAGCATCTGCTAAGATGTCTGAGGCCTACAAGGCATATTTCAGCATGCCTGTCAGGGATCAAGACAAACCCTGGGCACCTCATTTCACCTGCGAGCAATGCAACAAAAACTCTGGAAGGTAAGATGGACAATTGTTGCTCGGAATTTTCTGTTATAAAGTCTGTTAAAAATGTAAAAATTGTCAAAGTTTTTAACTTGTAAATGTTTTACAGTTTTCAATGTTATTGAAAAAATATATATGAAAAATGTTACGAGAATCTCTTACACATTAGTCATGGGTGAAATCAATGTATTTTTGTAGGATGGTACAGACGGGAAAAGAGAGACATGAAGTTCGCTATCTCAAGAATTTGGCGGGAACCCACTGACCACTCAAGCAACTGCTACTTCTGCATGGTAGACCCTTCCAAACGTCGGACTGGCAAAAATGCACCTGCTACCACGTATCCGGACCTTCCTTCATCCATCGCCCCGGTGCCACACTGCCATGAGCTCCCCGTAGCCACTCCTCCGGAGAAAGAGCAGCTCATCCAGGAGCCTCAAAGCCGTGCTGCTCCATAATGGTAACAAGTACCCGGCTATTCCCCGGGCTCACTCGGTGCACCTCAAAGAGGATTACAACAGCATCAAGACCTTGCTGTGGACGCCTTGAAGTATAATGAGTACGGCTGGGAGGTCATCGGAGACATCAAAATGGTGGCATTCCTGATGGGTCTCCAAGGCAGTTTAACCAAGTTTCTCCGCTATCTTTGCCTTTGGGACGCAGTCAGGAGCAACGCACAAGAGACTCATGATTATCATCTGCCGCTGCTCGAGACGATTGTGCCAAGGATGATGAAGGCGACTGAGATGCTGCTGCTGTTGCTGCTGCCCCATCTCACCTTGAGAGCCGGGTTCATTGCGAGGATGGAGTAGAAGGGGCGGCACTGGAAGAATCCCGTGCTCATCCAGGCGCACTCCATCCACAGACCGCGCATCTGCCCCGTGGCCGTGATGATGCTGGTGCCCACGTGAGCCGTCACCTGCCAGTGTGGGAGGATGGTGGCCGCCAGCGTGCCCAGCAGACCCACGATGGCCAGGCACAGGGCCACGATCTGGAGTCCCGTGGACACCATGATGACTATGACGACGGTGGCGGCGGTGGTGGTGGTGGAGATTCGTCTTCTTTATTGCGGTGGTGTTAGTGGAGTCGCTCCTTCTCACGATGGCGGCAGTGTTGGAGGAGGAGTTTGCGCCGCTGATAATCCAGAGAATGCGGGCAATGTTATTCGTAAGATTATTTTAGCTGTCGTAAGAACAACTTGTAGAAAGGCACACACACACAACTCGTCCGATAGAACGTTTCTAATCCGTCCGATCACTCTTCACGAGAAGTCACAAACAGAGCGGCCACAACAAAACTGGCTCCGCATGCCAACAAGAGGCTCCTCCACTCTCCATCCCAAAAAAAACACTCGCCGTGAGCCTCTGCCTCGGAAGGCGGTGGCGATGTCAAGTTTGCCGCAACGTTTCACATCAACGACAACAACACAAATCACGACGACTGAGACTTTGACACCGCGACTCAAACTTGGATTGGACCGCACACGGCAGGCGGCTTAAACATTAACCCAGGGGACCTGTCACAGGTGCGTGCCACAGCCCCCCCCCCCCGTGTGTGTGGGTGGTAGCGGTGACGATTAGCAGAACCGGGTTCTGGGCATCCCCTCGGTCGACTCAGCCTCAAATGAGTACCTCGCGCGGTGTGTAAACATTGGGGAGACAAAGGCGGTCGGGCGCGGTGCTGGCCACCCACCCCCCGTCGTGTGCCGTGTGTGGTCTTCATAGGTGCTCGCTAACAGCACTTGCCCCAGCAGCCTGCCACAGGCTACACAGGGGATCTTTGTCTTTGGTGGCGTCACGTGGTTCGCGCTGCACTTGGCGCGACGAGGCCGCTCACGAACTCGACCGAGTTCGATTCCCGCTCACGACCCCGTGAGGTCTCGAGGAGGTGGCACGCACTCGGCTCGCCAGGAGAAGGCGGTACAGCAAAGTGTGCACTGACATCAAGGGGGCAGCCAAAGAGCCTCAAGGGGGCAGCCAAAGAGACACGAGGGGGCAGCCAAAGAGTCTCAAGGAGGCAGCCAAAGAGCCCCAAGGGGGCAGCCAAAGAGCCTCAAGGGGGCAGCCAAAGAGCCTCAAGGGGGCAGCCAAAGAGCCCCAAGGGGGCAGCCAAAGAGCCCCAAGGGGGGCAGCCAAAGAGCCACGAGGGGGCAGCCAAAGAGCCTCAAGGGGGCAGCCAAAGAGCCCCAAGGGGGCAGCCAAAGAGCCCCAAGGGGGCTGCCAAAGAGCCCCAAGGGGGCAGCCAAAGAGCCGCAAGGGGGCAGCCAAAGAGCCGCAAGGGGGCAGCCATAGAGCCTCAAGGGGGCAGCCAAAGAGCCTCAAGGGGGCAGCCAAAGAGCCTCAAGGGGGCAGCCAAAGAGCCTCAAGGGGGCAGCCAAAGAGCCTCAAGGGGGCAGCCAAAAAGCCTCAAGGGGGCAGCCAAAGAGCCACGAGGGGGCAGCCAAAGAGCCCCAAGGAGGCAGCCAAAGAGTCGCAAGGGGGCAGCCATAGAGCCTCAAGGGGGCAGCCAAAGAGCCCCAAGGGGGCAGCCAAAGAGCCGCAAGGGGGCAGCCATAGAGCCTCAAGGGGGCAGCCAAAGAGCCTCAAGGGGGCAGCCAAAGAGCCTCAAGGGGGCAGCCAAAGAGCCTCAAGGGGGCAGCCAAAGAGCAACCTGCGGCTTCGTAGCCACAGGTTGCCGACCCTTGTCTATCAGAATCCCCTTGGCGTTACGCTCAGTCTCAAACCTTCCTACCTCTGCCTGGCCTCTCTATGCATGTGCTATGAAGAAGGCTAATTGCCCGAAACGTCTCCTATTGTATATTTTAAGGCCACAGCGTTACTATTGACGAATGTGATGAGGTTACTTTGTTAGATGTACTTTGCGCAACCACTGCCAATGTAGCTGCAGCGACAGCATCACTATATAAAGTTGTCTTTGTGTGTTCAATTAATGTGACACGACATTACATCTCTCTCACTCACTCCGAGTCGCTGTGGGCCCATTACAACATTTAATAACGGGGGCGATAACAAGAAATGTCTCCACCGAGCCCACTCGAAGGGCAACGAGAGGGCATGGAAAATATGAAACATTAAATTACTACCCCCACTACATCAAGTTAATGAACAACATTCCATCAGTGCACAAGCCCTGGGAATAAATAGCGAGTTCGCCCCCTCCTTGCGTACGGCTACGAGTGGGCAGTCTCTTATGAGGTCACCTCGTACGCTCGAAGATGTCCAGGGCTTGTGCAGGACACGCGGCTAGGTAGGGATGATGGGTTAGTCAGTTGAACGCGTAGGACGGAGGATTATTTGACGACGAATGTTATCAATAAATAGAGAGTGGGGTTTTTTTGGTTTGTTTGGGGTTAGAAACGTGTAAATATAAAGGTGGCGAAACGTCGTACTCGAATTATAAATGTCGTGGGTTTAGTCTCCAACACACCAATGTGCTGTACTAGTAACGAATTGGCCACGTTCTGTTGACGTGACAACCCTTGCTGATTGGCTCTGTCGGGTGGTGGCGGGTTTCACGACGCATTTATATTTACGCGACCAAACCCCAAAAACAAATATATTATTAGTGATGATGATAATGATGGGGATGATGATGATGATGGAGATGATGATGATGTGCGCTGGGCGAAGACGCACCGACTGAATGACGACCAAAAGGAGGAGGCAGCCGACCCAGAGAGGACGTCCCACCGGGGGAGATGGAGCGATGAGACGACCCTGGGCATGCGCCAACTCGGCTGGATTGTTGCATCGTGGGACCGCGATGGGGATGGCGACAGCTTGGCCTTCATCCAGCAGTGGATCGATCGTGGCTGCTGATGCTGATGGTGGCGATGGCGGCATGTATTTGTTCTAACAGTCGTTTGGTCTTCCTCTGCGCAAAACTGCAGTCTCTGACGACGTTCCTCATTCAATCGGACTCGTTAAGTTCACCTCGTCATAGTCACTCGCACATTGGACTCGGTTTGTCAATCATCGTCGTCATTGCGCTCGACGATTTCCGTCCAACTCGCAGTCAAAATCACCTCGTTTTTTTGTTTTTAAACTCCCATAGCAAAATTGACGGGGCCACCTCCACGTCACGCTTCAAGCCCCGTCAACATCGGCGACTCCGAACCCACTCGAGTCGAGAGGCTGCACTAGTGATGGGGACGTTGCCCCCTGCGCGGGCTACGGGATCCACGTTCCTCCTCCTCATCATCATCATCATCACCCTCCTCGACCTCACGGAGGAGGCGTCTCTGTCGAACGCCACGGGGAATCTTCTGCCCTCGCCTCGCACCCCAAACGCCACGCACCACGAACCTGCCACGGGCACTGAGGACCCGGAGTCAAACCACGACCACGACCATCACCTACAGTTGCAACAGCAGCAACAGCAGCTGGCGTCGGCCGAGGCAGCTGGCTCGGCCCTCTATCTCCTCGTCCTCTGTGGCTTCTTCGGGTTCCTCCTCTTCGCGGCCACCTTCGACCACGTTCGGAGCAGGCAGGCCGAGCGCTGGGCCAAGGACGCCTACAGACGGGCGGCCACGTCTCGGTGTCCCCTAGATCGCCAGGGTCCGCCGCGCGCCCCAGGTGACCCCGCGAACGCCTGCTGCTTGATCCGGAGCAACCACGCCGCGCTGATGGCCTTGCCGGATGCCGCGACGGTGAACGTCGCCGCAGCCGCCGCACGCTCCCGTGGCGGCGGGGGTGGTGGGGACGGCGCACGTGGAGATGGAACGGTCCAAGTGCCCCCCCAGGATGATGCAGGGGAGGTCAGTGCTGCGTTCCCAGTTTTGTAAGGCGGGAGGGCGAGGGGGAGGTGGGTTTGGACCCCAAGCAGGGCTTAATTTCTCACGCGATATATTCCGGAATGTGTTGTTAAGCTAGCTTGGAGTGAAGGATTATCGGCGTAAGGCACTACCACTAGAAAACAAGGTACGCCTTTGCCATGCTAATAATATATTATTGTCCCTATTAAATGAGTCAATCTTAAGCAAGTGTTTAACACATAGGCTTCCAATATCATCCATAGTATAGGTTTTTTGGCTGTCGCCTGATGAAGCTAGTTGTAATTGCTGGCGAAACGTCGTACTCAGATTGTATATGTTGTGGCTTGGCTCTCCAACACACCGGTGTGCTGTACTAGTGACGAATTGGCCACGTTCTGTTTACGTGACAACCCTTACTAGTTGGCTGTGTCGGGTGGGGGCGAGTTTAACGACACATTTATATATGTACGCGATCTAACCCAGAAAACCTCTACTATGGCTTAATCAAGCGGTATTCAAACGTCATTCGCGAGACAGCTTACACCTTTACCAACCCGCCTTGGCCAGCATGGTGAAGTATGGTCCACAAATCTCTCACGGCCCGGCCACGCAAGGCGTAGGGGAGGCTGTACGTGCCAGGTGAAAAAGGGGCAGCCCCTGAAATTTCTCGTGCCACAGCTGCTGGAAGTTGGCCTCAACTGGACAGACGTTTTAGGTAAGATTTTTGGAGTACCCACACTTTACCCTACCGAACTACAAACTTTAAAAATGTTTACCAGGTTAAGGCCCACTGAGCTATACAGCTGTTTTTTCAGAAGCGACGTGGCCACAAATGATAGCTCAATCAAGTGGATTATCACGTGGAAATGTATACAAGCCAAATACTCTAAACGCGTGATGTTGATTCTAAATGTGGAGGGGGAAAACCGGAGGACCCCGAGAAAAATCCACCCGACTACCTGGAGAGTGACACGCGAACTCCAAATATACAGCAGCAAGCGTCAGGGTCGGGACCGAACCCACGACCTCGTGTACACCAGGCGAGGTAGTTAACGGCTTCGGTGGTGGACGGACGCGGGAGGGATTCGCGGCAGGGGAGCAGCCAGAAAGAAACGTTCCCCGTTGTTTTCAAATGCCGCGCCGGGACGTAGAATCGACGAACCGAGGACCTCCTTTGAATTGTGAATTATTATTTTTATAACTCAACACAGTCTTCAATAACAATGTAGCATGAAAAAAAACACAAAAACAAATAATACACAACGTGCGACGTTTCGGGCAATGGCCCGTC